CCACTTTCTTGACCTCTGACCTCCCCTTTGCCCCCACCGCAGTGAATGAACGCGACTCTGATCACACCTTGGAACAAGAACAGGAAGCGCGCTGGATCTCACTGGGCCGGCGCATTATCGAACTTGAGCAGGACATGCGGAATCGGACTCCGCTCTCGAAACACGCGTTTCGAGTGTTATTACTCGTGTTCGTTGCTCTCATCGTCACACTCAGCGTCTTGCTCAAGGTGCTCGTGCTGGACCGTGGTGATAGCGATCCCTGTCTCACAACCGACGTGCTGATTAGTAGCCAGGCCTCGATGGACACCTTCCTACAAAGCGGGTGCACGGTAGTCCGAAACCTCGCGCTTGTCAATCTCTCGCCTGAAGGAACAACGCCACTCGAGACGAGTGATGAATTGCATCTCCTGATGTCGCCTGATCAAGACCGAGCAGTTGACGCGGTCCCTTTGTCCCGTCTGGACTACTGGCAGTCCAAAATTGCCAACACTTCGTTTTCGGCCAACCGGCCGCCAATAGATGTCGCGGCGTTGAATTACAACGCGCCCGAGACGGACGCTAGGGCGTTTATGCTCGACGCCCCTGCATGGATGCTACTGTCCACTGCACTTGCAAACCTCCACACCATCAGCGGCGACTTTTCAGTCGTCAACTGCACCATTCGGTCGCTTCGCATGACCGCGCTGACCAGCGTCGGCGGATCCATCACGATTCGACGCAACCCCTCTCTCGTGTCCCTGTACATGCCAGTCCTCCAGCAGGGCGCCGGCAACCTCGAGGTCGCCTACAATCCGTTTTTGCTTTACATGTACTTTCCTCAGCTGGTGCAGCTCGAAAACATGGCCATTTTGGCACAAATGTCACTACCCAAGCTTGACTTTCCCATGCTCCACAGCATCAGCGAGCTCTCAATCACATGGCAACCCTACTTGCACAACATCTCGTTCGGCCAACTCAACACGGCCGACAATGTGAAGCTAATCATGTTGTACACGAGCGCCTTTGGGACCGAGTCTTGTGAGCTCCATTTTCCTTCCATGACGTATACCCAGTCGCTCCTCGTCAAGAACGTGTACCAGCTCGGCAAATTGGACGTGACATCTCTCGCGCAGGCCTCCTATTTGGACTTTTCCACCATCTTCATGGGCAAAACGCGCGTTCTTGTCTCATCCGACTCGGATGAAAACGTGACGCAAGTGCTTGTCGGAGATGAGCACTTTACATTCCCCAGCCTTGTGACCTCAGACTTGACCATCTCCTTCTCGAATGTGTTTGGGTGCATCGAACTGAACTTTCCGTCCTTGCTCACATGTGCACACTTTGCACTGGCGTCCAACACCTTTCTCAGCACTGTCAATATGCCCGCGCTAGTCACGGCAGACGAGTTGGACATTCGCTTCAACCCGAATCTGGTCAACGTGAGTGCCCCAATCCTCCGTCAGGTGACTTCGGCCTTCTTCCTGGTTGCAAACTGGGCCTTGAAGCGCGTTCTTTTTCCCGACCTTCAAGAGGCCACCGTGCTCGTCACTCTGTCCTATGATCTGGAGAATATTACGCTTGGCTTAACACGAGGAAGCGTTGCCATCGTCTCCAACCCGGTCCTGAAAGCCATCTCGCTCCCACGCCTGGACGCCGTTGCTATGCTGGCTATTCTGGACAATCTGGTTCTCGAATCCATCTCGCTTCCAGTGCTCACCACAGTCGGAAGTGCGGGATATGTGGCAAACTCGCCACCACTGGGCCTGGCATGGATTATCGGTCACGAGAACATTCTGGACAACTTCCCACCCAACAGGACCGCCTCCGACACGTATGAAATCGGGGCCCAGCTCGTCTCTGGCCTCCTCGCCATGTGGGCCAACCCGCAACTCACAAACTTTTCCGCACCCCTCGCAAACTACGCCGTCAATGTTTTCGTCCAAAACAACCCGTCGCTTTGCTTCGACATGGATACTCTGCCCAGCCTACAAACGCTACAGGTGTCGTGTCTCCATGGCAATCGCCAGGGCTGTCTTGGGGCTGCAATCAACAACACCCTCAGCTCATGCAACACTCCTCCTGCTCCAAGCAGCTCCATCTCGTCCCGCATGGTTGGCAGCCAGCCCATTGCTTCGGCACCCTATAGCGCTGGTTCTGCCAGCATGCTCGGCGGCAACTCGCCTGTACGATGGAGGCGGCAAGGACTTCGTGGTGTTTGAGTCGTTCCCATTCATTCAGAAAATCGATTTGTTTCATGTTTCATGTTTTGTTTTCATGTTTGTTTGTTTCATGTTTTTTTTTTCTCCAGTTACTCGCAATACGATCAGTCCTGGTTTGATTTTGTTTTGTTTTTGTTTGTATGCAAACCAGCAGCAGCAGCGTTGCGCGGCGATGCTTGTCAATGCTCAGCAGCAGCAGCAGCAGCAGCAGCAACAGCAGTTCGACGACCCCGCTGCTCGGCCCACCAACCACCTCCCCTCGCGACGACACTGCACACGAGTCGTCATCCATCACGATGCCACCTGCGCAGCCTGCCCTTCCGCTCCAGAGCAGCCCTGCGTTCGTCCCGTCGTCCTCGTCCCTCTCTCAGCAGCAGCGCTTCCAGCCATCGACCGCTGAGCCCATCTCGGCCGCCGAGTTTGCTGCTGCCGCCCAGCAAGCAGGCATCACTCCCAAGTCCCACATTGGTAAGGACATGCAGTCGCTTGCGGCGAAAGGGCGAAAGCGGGCGGGGGGGGTGGAGGACATCCCGCCATGTGCGATCGCCAAGCGTGCAACGACGCAACACCGTCAGACTTGCACAAATCGTGGTGTGTAGTGTGTTGACTTGTGCTGATGGACACCACTGTTTTTGCTATTGGTTCTTTTTTGCAGCGATCGCGGTGAGCGGCGGTCCGGACAGCATGGCGCTCGTGGCGCTTCTACACAGATACATGATGACCTCACGACTCGGCTCGAGTCAAGCGACATCCGCATCACAGCCATCAAACGAGACCGTTGCTGCTGCTGCTGCTGCTGCTGCAATGCCCAATACACCGACCGCCCGTGGTGGGAAACAGCGGCGTGACGAAGCCAAGTCTGCAATTCGATCCGGTTTGGCCAACAGCACCCAGGACCACACCTCCAACAAGAAGCCTCCTCGGAATCTGCTGGCATTCACGGTAGATCATGGATTTCGACCAGAAAGTGCTGACGAAGTCGTGTTTGTCAAAAAGTTGCTCGAGCGCCGATTCGGGATTCAAACCTACCCGCTCAAAATTACATGGCCTGACGGGTTGCCAAGCGGACCCAGCAAGCTCGGCGATGCTCGAGATCAGCGATACCAAATGATGGCCGATGAGCTGGTCAAGATGCGGCAAACCCTCGAGACGGCAGCGCAAACAGCCAGTCCGACATTTGCTGCTCCGGCCGCCCATCTGCCGTATGCGAGCCACTATACTGCAGCGGATGTGGCGCTGTTCTCGCAACGCAGGCGTCGAACTGCTCAGCTGCTGGCTCAGTTGTGTGAAACGGCTGGCGGGGGAGGCGGAAAATTGCGCACTGCAGATTTGGCCAACATCGAAATCCCCACCATTCGCACTGGTCCCTTTGTTCGGGATCGACCGCCTCGTCTGGATGACGCCTGGATGAGTCATTATCTCCACTCGTTCATCATTGATCAAGCTCTATCCAAGGTGGATGCGGACATTCCTCCAAACGCCCCTGCCAAATCCATGTTTTCTCCGGTGTTGGCCGTGGCCCATCACGCCGATGATCGTCTCGAAAGTATGATTATGCGGTTTTCGCGCGCAAGTCAGATGGACGGGCTGAGAGGCCCAATGGCTTGGTACAATCGGCTTTCGCCAGACAACAGCAGTTTCTTTTCGATTGTTCGTCCGTTGCTGCCGTTTCCCAAAGCACGACTTGTTGCTACATGCGAGGCAATGGGCGTCCCCTATGTGCGGGACCCGAGCAACGATGATTTGGCATTCCGCCGCAATTCGGTTCGGTTCGCGCTGCGTGCTCTGCCAGGTGAAGTGGCAGCGGCAATTGCGACTTCCGAGACTCGCTCGACAATCCCTGCCTGTTCGCAGCAACCAGCAGCGCCACAAAAGCAGGGTCGATCAAATAAAGTTGCGTCGACCAGTGCTACTTCCAGCGCCAAAAGCGCAACAGCCACCACTCAACCATCGCTCGACCTCATTGCTGGGCTGACCAGATTGCAACACAAGATCGTCACGACTTCGGAGCTAGTCGAACGTGAAGGTAAGATTGCCCCTTTGTCAATCTTGGAATCATGTTGTTCGAACTGGATAAGTGTGGCTGACAAGATTTTTTGATGTTGCCTTTTTTTTTTTTTTTTTTTGTTCGCTTTCTTTCGGTGTTTTTTTTTTTTTTTTTTTTGCTTGCAGTGCATGAAGCGCTGATAAAACACTCGATCGTCCATCCCCTTTTAGGCTGGTGCCTGCTGGGGTGGGAGCTATTCAGTCCAGCCGTCCCAGCTGACGTGGCGCTTCGGGCGGTCAAGCGAACTCTTGGGTACTACAGCAACGACACGGTACTGAGAGCCACAGCTGCAGGACTGACCCGGTTGCTGCAGGACATTCGCTCCTTTGATCGTGCTCAGTTTGGCGAGCGCGATAACAAGGGAAAGGCCAACAACTCCAGTGGCAGTCGCGGATGGTTCCACCCGTCCTTCCTGGCTCCGATTACTTGCACGTTGCCCAACGCCGATCTCCTCGAGAGGGTTTTTGGCTCGCGGCGGCGAGACCAATTTGTGCCGATTCGCTCTGCCAACCACTGCTCCATCAATGCCGTTCCTGAGGGAGTATTGTTTGTGAATTTGGCTCAAAACTCGCGCAGTCTGTTCGCCCCACCGCAACTCTCCTCGCCGTCCTCCGACGGCTTTGTCACGGCCTCGTATGCAGTCAGGTTTGAGCACATGATGGATTTGACCATGACGCTGCGGCTACCAGAAGCAGTTGCTCACTCGTTGCGGACGACACCGTCCACGGCCGAGCTCCAAGTGCGTGGGGGAACACGAGCGAATACGTTGCTCTCCAGCATCACCAAACCGCCTGGCCATCCGTTCCGAGGCGTTCCGTTTGTCCGGCGCTACTTGGCCTCCGAGGACGGCATGTATTTGCCATGGAACCTAAAGTTCACGGGCCAAGCCCATCGCTTCCGCAACGCCCTGCAACCGCATCTCCTCACCATTGAGGCCCTTCGTGGCGTCCCAGTCATTGCAGATCTCGATGGACCGATCGCCATTCCCCATTTTGGCGTGGTCTTGTGCGAGCAGATTGTGGATTGCAGCGTACGCAATGTCGTCTGGTGGCGATCTCGGCGGACGAGTCCGGGCTTGGCCGAACTACTCCCAACTGGGTCAAGTTTGTAAACAGCCACAGACTGCAAGCAATCCGATGCGTGCTTTGGGTCAACGATAAGACAATATTTGTTGAAAACAAAAGTTTACACAGCTTCATCGAATGCAAACGCAAAAACAAAACAAACACACAATACGATAGTATTTGCACACGAGTTAGTGGTGGAACAGAGTTTAACTCACAACGGCGATGGGTTGGGGTTGGAAGGTGGGGTGACCGTGCAGGTCAGACTCAGGCACTGTGGATGATGCCGCACTGGAAACAACTGGGGGCACACTGACTGCAGGCTCCAACGGAGAGCTCAAACACTCGTTGATCAACTGTGCGTTGAATTCAACGGGGTCTTCAATGTACATTTGATGTCCACCGCCTCCAATCGTGATAATGTTGGTCTTGACCGACATGTGACGTTGCGCCTCCGCAGCGGGCCGATAATCCATCCAGTCATACAGACCGTACATGAAAGTGGTCGGCATGACCAATCCCGGCAGCCGGTCGAGCAGTGGCTTGCGAGCCCAGGCGCCCTGCACGATGCACAACAAAACAAAATTTTCAAAAAAAAATTGGTGAGCGCCCAACATAATAAAACCATCACATGCCCTCAGCACGGAGCACGTCACTGCAATGCAAGTTTCTTACAAACGAGAGAATAGTATTGAAGGCCAGCTCGCCGGATCCAGTCGCGGCGCTGATGTGATACAGGTAATTTTGCAGCAAGAGCCGCTCGTCCGGCGGGAGGTCAAACCGACGACCGACAGCAAACCTGACCAGGGCCGGTCCAAAGTGACCAGCGGCACGCACAAGAGACTGAGGAGTGACATTGGAGCTCCACATGCGCTCAATGATGGCAGCCAGCATGGGTCGCGATGCGCGCAGGCGGGATTCGAAGGCGGGCACCTCGGGTCTCTTTGGCACACCGACAGGAGAAATGAGGACAAGCTTAGTGACACGATGGGGATACTTGAGTGCATACGTGGCAGACAGGAAACCTCCGAGCGAGTGACCGCACAGCACAAAGCTCTCAATGCCCATGCGCTGACGCCACAGCTCCAGAGACTCTACGAAAAAGTTCTCTGCTTCGTCGGCGTTCTTGGCAAGGAATGGCGGGCGCGACGATCCGCCCATGCCGAGCCAGTCAATGGCATGAATGGTGAGACCGGGCGTGGAAGCCAACGCCGGCAGATTTCGGTAAAACACGCCAACGCCTGCGCCAAATCCATGCGTGAGGACCACGACACGCTTGCGGCTATTGTGAAGTGTCCACTTGTGGTTGGCTTCCCGTTGCGAGGTTTCGGCGTTAAAGCTCAGAGTGTGGATTGTTCTCAGCGGCTTGGACTTTGAGCATGACTTTGCGGCAGCCTGAGTCCCCGCCGCCGTGGACGCTGACGTAGCATCAATGTCAATGTCCCTGACTTGGAATGGCGTCTGTGCGTGGACCTTGGCGAGAAGCTCCTGCTCGGCCTTGGCCATTGCGGCCGATGACGTTGGCCAGTAGATTTGCGAGAGTGATTGGCCCATTGCTGCGGCAGATGCAGACGCAGACGCAGTGACAGTCGCTGTGAGTTGGCACGCAGCAGCAGCAGCAGCAGTGACAGTTGTGGGGGGTGCTGCGCGGAGGAAGAAGCGGCCGTCGTTGCCGTCGTCGGACTTGAAGAGCAACAGCGAGCGAGCGGCACGGGCGAAGCGGTTGGCCTTGGCAGTCGATGCGCAGAGCAGCTGGCGGCGGGAGCACGACTTGCTCTGGATTGAGGAGGAGGAGGAGGAAGGAGCGGGCGAGGGAGCAGGAGCAGGAGCAGGAGTGGAGTGCTGCGGTTTCAATGCGGCGTGAAGCTGAGCTCGTCGGCGAAGAGGGACGTAAGCGAACGGAAGCTGATGTGGCAGCAGCTCAGCGGACGCAAACGAGAGCGATGATGGAGGAGTAGCTGTTGTTGTGGAAGGAAGAGTGAGCCGCTGCCTGGTTTGGGTTGAGTAGGACTTGGCTGGGGCTGGATTGGGGAAAACGCCGACAGGTGCGGGATTTTGGACGACGGCGGCGGCGGTGGTGCAAGTGCGGAACAATCGCACAGCAGCGCGATGGATGAGTTGGGGTGAAATTTCAGAAAATGAAATGGGGGCAAGTCAAAGAAGAGTGGGAAAAAAAAAAGGGTAGAGGTTGTGGGGAGCGGTCTTTGCTATTGAAATTGAGATTGAGATTGAGATTGAGATTGAGATTGAGATTGAACGAAGCGTCGTAGAAAAAAACGCTCCCACATAGACCTGAATGAGGCGTGTATCGTCGTATGATGAGGTGTGGTGCTTGTAGAGGGGCGGCGCGAAGGCGAAGGGGGTGGGCTCAAAGAAGACCATTGAATTGCCAAATCTTGTCACTTGAACGGCACAGTATCAACCTCGTCCATCAAACAAAATCAAGGTCATAAGACAGGTTAAAATCGCATCACTCAGGACTACTTTCGGCCGGGGTAGTTGAGGCACGCCTTGTGCATTTGATCTGCAAAGAGAAATGACCAAACAAGAAGAACCCAAAAACAAGAACCCCGGCATCTCACTGAGCCAATCACTGTCACGATAGCACGGTCAACATCATGCCCACACATTTACTGGCTTCGTATAAACTCACCCAAGAACGCTGGAACGCCCTTTTGGGCGGCCCAGTTGATCAGCCAGCTCGGGATGTGACCTTTGGGGTCGTCAAAGTACTCCATGAAGACCTGAGTGCCCAACGTACCGCCCGACGCCTTGCGCATGACAAGAGTTTGCGCATAACTATCGACTCGAACAACGCCCTTCACTTCGGCGAAAGCAGGGTGGTGGTGACAACGCCCGATTGTAACGCTGACTTGGGTATCGCCGTCGCCCAGGAGTCGCGTTCGCATCCAGTACACGTAGTCTCGGTGTGCAAGTGGCCATGGATAGGCAATTCGGCAATAGTGTCCGCCGTCTGCAAGCAAGGTAAAAGTGGAAGCAACAACAATCAGCCTGCGTTCGGCCTTTCGACAGTGTGACTGTCACGGAGCATAAGGAAGAGATGCAGACTCCCACGCCCACGCGATTCACTGCTGGACTTTTGCTTGATTTTGTTTTGTTGAATCTCAGACATTTGGAAATTTGACGGCAAAACGCTCGCCGACAAAAACGTTGTCCCAGTAGTATCCCCCTATCCCCAACCCCACCCAATCCACACACGCGCTCTCACCGTCGTGTGCGTAACTGACCAGTGTCTGGAATGGCGCGGATGTCCTTGATGTACTCGTCCCAGGTGCGGCGGTACTGGTGGTCGGTGTAGACTGCGAGACAGGTCGCCGGGTCGATTCCCGCCAACACGCCGACCACCTTGTACTCGTAGAGCGGCTCGCGCGGCCGCCGGTAGATGGTGAACTCTTTGTGTGTGACGAACGGCTCGTACCCAGTCAAATCGGGCGTGTCGAGCTCGGCGGCGGCGCTCTCAAACTCGGGCGCAGCGAGCGCTGGTTCACTGTGAGTTGATTGCTGCGCCATCCTTCCCTCAACAATAACAACAACAACAACAGCAAACGAGAAACAATGAACAATGATAGAGTTGAATCAAAGAAGGAGAGTGAACGCATTGCACTTGTTTCGTTTGGAATTGGTCGATATAAACTGGCTCAGAAGGCGGTTGCAACACAGAAACTCAACCGAGAGCAACCATGAGTTTGGTGTAGCAGGCGTGCAAGTCATCGCCGAAGCCCTCCAACTGAACACGGTGAAAATACAATTTCTGAGCAAGCCCGACGGAACCTGTCAAAATCCTTGTGCCTAACCCTAACCCTGACCCTCCAACCCAACCCACTCCCGCTCGTTCCCTGCGATATTTATCAAGATGGCCGCCTTGACACCAACACATTTTTTGCGCTCCAAGTGAGAAATAGTGCGCGACCCTTTTCTTTCCCTCTTCCTCTCTTCGCTCTTCGCTCTATGGCGTTGCATTGCCGGCCAATCGCGTTCGCTTTTGAAACGAGCAACTTTTTTTATTTTCCTTTTTTTTTTTTCCTTTTTTTTTTTTTTTTTTTTTTTCGTTTTCCAGTCATTTCCCAGTCTTTTTTTTCCTCTTGCTTTCAGCACAAGCATTTATTTTCATTGTTATATAGTTTGTCGTGTTTGTCCTCGCTTTTTTTTTTGCTGATACTATCGGTGTTCGGGGGGGTCATCGAGGGGAGTTCTCGAGTGGAATGGACGCTGCTGCGATGACTGCTCCACCTGCGGCAACAACGACCGCGCTGCTGCAGCCCGTGTGCACCGTCCCACTGCTGAGCGCAAGCAGCATCCTCGATGGCTACGACCCATTCCACGTGTCGCAGGAGCTCACTGCGTTTGGCATTGACGACCCGACGCTCGCCTTCCTGCTCAACCCATTCGCGTGCGACCACCACGACCACGACCAAGACCAAGACCACGACCACGACCACGACCAAGACCACGACCACGACCATGAACACAGCGACCACCACCACGACGGCCATCAACAAGCTGGCAATGCAGGAGACACACGGACTGGCGCTGCTGCTGCTGCCACTTCTTCTACTGATTTGGCGCCAATCCGCTCAGACGGTTTCCCGCCATCGGTGGTTTTGCAGCAGCCGCCATCGTCGCATCATCTGCAAGCCCTGCCAAATACATCACCATCCACATCATTAACTCAAGCACAAGCTATGGTCGCGCCAATGTGGACCATGAAATCGGAAGCTGCTGCTGCCAAGCATCTGCAACCAGCGCCGGCAGCAGCGTTGAGCGAGCCCTTGCGAAAGCACCACCACCACCACGGGCACTGCCATCATCACATGTACCATGGTCCCAATGCAAGCGCCGCCATGGCCGAAGCAACGGCTGCTGCCCTTGCCGCGACTTCCCTGACAAGCTCGCAGGCCACGACGCCTTCTGACGCCAGTCCGCTCGACTTTGGCGATGAATCGGACGGCTCGGACGACCTCGACGCCGAAGACATGATGCAGTATCACAACGAAATCACTGCTTGCCTCTGCGACTTGCACAATGCTGTTGCCACGTCGTCAGACGAATCCACTTTGCTGTTTGCACACCCAGACGGATCGGGTCCATTGAGTGTGCCGCAGTCCACCAACATTCCAGTGGCCATGGGAGGCTTCTCTGGCGTACCTCCGTCGACACCGCAAGCTGTCAAGCCATCTGGCGCCCGTGTGCTGTGCCCGCTGCATCCTGCACCAGGCCGTGCGCAGTCCGGCCCTGTCGCAAACGCGGCGCACCAGCAGCAGCGAGCGCCAGTCGCACCCGCCGCTCCAACGCCAACACCAGCGGCCATCGCGCCCTCTGCCTCATCATCGGCACCGCCCGTGATTCTAGCTGCACCCCACACGACGAGCTTGCTCGCCAGCAAAAGCAACTACCTGCAAATATCCGAGGGGCATGCGTTCAATCTGGGCGTCGACTTTAACCCGGACATGGTCAAGGCCGTGGAAGATCGCAAAGTGATGCACAAAACCTCAGAGCGCCGTCGCCGCCATGACATGCAGGACGGCTACAGCCAGTTGAAACAGCTCGTGCCGTTGCCTCGTGCCAAAAAGGATCGACGATCCAGCAAAGCCACCGTCCTTCTCGATACGGTCGAGTATGTTAAAAAGCTGCAATACGAGTGCGCTCAGTGGCAACTCAAGTACGAGCACTTGCACGAAGAAAACCAAGAGCTCAAGAAAGCCCTGTCCGCCATGACCGGAGGCATTCTCAAGCACGTCCAAACAAACTCGTGCGGTACAACCGCCGCGCATGCCACCCATGATCACTACCATGCACAGCAGCAGTCCGAGCACCACGGGCATCAGCACGGGGGGGACGCCTATGGCCACGCGCCATAAACCGTCAACCATTGTTTCTATTTGCTTTGTTTGTTTGACGTGTTTGTGTGTTTTGGGTTTCTTTGAGCCTCTGTTTCAGTTTTCAGTACCGCACAGTATCTTGTCCTATTTCATAGTCCATATTCCATAGGTGATCATCCATCAGTCCAGCATTTTAGCATTGCATTGTTTCTCGAAACCTTTGACGAGAACTCGACCGATGACGACTGCGGCCGACCTGACTGAGGAAGCGCGCCGCATTGCCCGCGACAAGGCGCGCATGGAGGCCGACCTGGCCGCGCTGCTGAGTGCGCTGTCGAGCCACGGTGCGGACATGGCGTCGCCGCTCGTGGACAGCGACGGGTTTCCGCGCAATGACATTGACGTCCACGCAGTGAGGTCGCTCCGGAACCAAGTCGTCGTCCTCCGCAACGACCTGCGCGCAATCATGAAGCAAGCAGAGGTCGCTCTGCAGGCACTGCACGCGTCAAAGCGATCCCAAGGTGCTGCTGCTGCTGCCCCGGCTCCAGCTCAGTCCGCTCCAGCTCCAAGTACAAGCACATTGAGCGACGCAATGACCGGTCTGACCGTCGCCCGCCAAGTCTCTGTGCCCGCCGATGCAGACGCCGCGCTGCTGCCATTTGCAAGAGTCGATCAAGTGGCGCCGTCGTCGCCAGCGAGCGCTGCAGGGCTCGTGATTGGCGATTTGCTGCTGCAGCTTGGCTCCATCCGCCGTCATAACTTTACCAATCTTGCATCGGTGGGCGAGGTTGTGCGTGCGAGCGAGAATGTCAGTGTTTGGCTGCGATGGTGCTCTCGTCTTGTTGTTGTTGTGGGCCAGTGGCGTGCATCCTATCTGACACCGATTTTGCGTTGCATCTCTGCAGGCTCCAGTCGACGTGTTGGTCGATCGACACAGCCAACTCCTTGCGCTCACATTGACACCACGGCGGTGGTCTGGCCAAGGTCTGCTCGGGTAAGGAGCGGCTGTTTCTCGGGAGAACGTGAGACTAGATTCGCTGCAAATTGAGCTCACTCGTTGCTGTCTCGCTTTTTCGCCCCCTGTAGATGCCGGATAGTCCCATTGTAACTTTTGGTAGACCTGCCGATCGATGGGATGCACCTTATTTTCGATTACTGTACATTATTTGCATGGAGATGTGGCCGCTCTGAATATACAAGCTGTCTGTGCGCCACAACAAAGTACTATTCCTCTCAGGTCTGTCCCTCACGACACAATCAACAACTGCATCCACGTTGAATCTATCGGCAAGGCTTGGCCGAGTACGTGGCCGGAGCGTCTGGTTGAGCAGCCAGCTGCAACAACGGATCTTGCATTGGGCTCGGAAGCCGTCCCCACACCATCGCCGCCGGCTGGCCTGGAGCCTGACGGATTGTAGCAATCGTGCATTGGCTGTGGAAAATCCACATGTGCCCATTGGTGCAGTCACCCAAACACCTCGTGCAAGGTGTTTCGACGTGGTAGCCGACAGCATTGCCACACGTCAGGCAGGCTGCGTCCCGAACCAGACACCGACAAGTGGGTGCGTGTCGAGCATTCCCAATCAAGGCTACCGACGAAGGCTCTGCATCGGTGGAGTACAGCTCTTGGTTACAAGGCTCGGCGCGAAGCTTGCCGCCCATGCCACGATTCGTGATATTGGCCGAGCAATATCTGGCACCACCCACAACAAATATATGCGTACATGCCAAAGTTCAAAGCAGATGAGTTGTCGATTCAGTTGACTGAGACCAATGAAGGGTCGTTGCTGGAAAAGGAACAAACTGTGCCTGCTACGCGCCACGCTCAAAGCGTCGTATGGCAATGATTCTCGGTCACTTACAAGCAATCTAATTGCACAACGAGCTCCGACGAGAATATTGTCGGTGATGACGACGTCGTCTCAGCGGAGGAAACGTTTGTTGCGTTGTTTGTTGATGTTCTTCTTGTTCTTGTTGCTCGTTCAAGTTGAAGCCAGCGTCGGGGAGTTGGTTGCGATAGCGCCATTGCATCTGGAGAAGAAGGCTGCCTGTCGAGATCAAACAAGGACGCTCGGGCATTGCGGCGGCGTGCAAGGACGGAGGACGACAGCGTGACTGCGGTAGGTGTTGACAGGTTGTGACTTTGGTTCCTACTGTCGTCGCCTCGCTCTTCTGCGGCTGCTGCTGCGTGAGCATGGCCAGTCACGTCAGAGCTCCGACCTTGACGAGCACTGTCTTCATTTTCTGCGACGGAAGCAGGCGCGGGGGTCGCGCGAGCGCGAGGACTCGGTTCCTGGCGTGCTTGTTGATTCGTGACGGAGCTGCTCAGAACGTCACGTCCTATCGTGTGCTGCTGCTGCTGCTGCTGCTGCCAGGCACTAACGCCGCTCCACCAGTGCTCCTGGTGCTCGAGATGCCTTCTCATGTGTGGTTGGAGACTGGTTTCATCTGCAACTCCACCGTTGCTGCACGGCGTCGACGGCTGCGGCAGCCGAGCGAGTCGAGTGCGAGCAGGACGATACCGGGTTGGCATTGTTTTTGTGTGTGTTTGTTTGTTTGTTTGTTCGGCTGAACTTTGACAGACTGAACAAGCAAAATTCAGAGACAAATAGAGCACTTACTCGTGTACAGTACAGTGCAGTTCTGCTGCGGTGACCATTTCTGCTCCATTCCCATTCAACGCCAGATTGAACGCGCTGTTCTGTTGGGTGTGATCAAACGCAACACCCTCGCTGTCGTTGGTCGTCGGACGAAACAAATTATCTGCTTTCTCAGTCTTGGTTTTGATTTTTTGGGGGGTTTGGTTTTTTGTTGTTTTTTTTTTCACCTCTCTTTTTCTGAGTTTCTTGTCGTTTTTTTTTTTTTTTTTTTTCCTCCCTATTTTTTTTTTCTTTAAATCACCGCGCGTCGTGTTCGTTCGAGTTGTGACTGCGGTTGTCCTTGTTGTGTGGATTGATTGACATCCCCTCTCCCCTTATCACTCACGAATGATGCGCGAGATGGACGTGCGAGCGCCCGAAGCGCCGCTGCTGCACGTTGCCTCGTCGCCAGCAGCCATCGCAGCCGCAGCCGCAGCCGCAGCCGCAGCCACTGCACCGCCAGCCCCAAGCACAGCCACGAGTGCAAGCACAGGCACAAGCACAAACGCAGGCACAGGCACTGCTGTTGGCGCGGTGGCTGCAGGCGGGCCTGGGACGCCAGCAGCGAGTCCCAACGCTTCAACAACGCTGCTGCTGAACAATAGCAGCACGACTCCTGCTGCTGCCGCGGCTGCTGCTGCCAGTGAGGCGCTCCTTGCAAAGAGCACTGCGGCTGCTGCTGCGGCGGCGGGCAAGAAAGGCCGGAAGGAGTCAAAGACGCCGCTCAAGGAGAAGTTTGTCCAAATCTACGAGGCCTTCTTCAATGTGAGCGCACACCAACCGCGTAGTTGCCAATGAGATGAGGCGCAAATTGGAAGATGACGTGGCACGTCTGAGATTTATTTTGTTAAATTACCAGAGGGGGGTGACGTGGTGGCAAAGCGATTTGCCAACGAGTAGCTTTCCTGCAACGAACTGGCCTCACTTTCCATCTGAACTCACAATCTGAAACACAGGGTGACAATCCATCAACCGCAAGCCCGCATTTCTGGGACGAGTTGTTTCTGCTCAAAGTCAACGCAGTGTTCTTGGATCGCTGCATCACGTCGCTCTCCGAGGAGCAACTCATGTCGCTCAAGGTGCGCGGTGTTGCGCTCTTGCTTGTTTGTTGCTAGTGCGCCTATGGGGGGAGGCACGAGCGTTGACCGTGCTGACGTTGTAATCTGGGACGGCAACGTTTGTTTGCTTTTGTGGGATTTTGCTTTCGACCTTGCAGGACATTACCAATTTGATTGTTTGCAGCGCCATCTCAGCGCTGCGCGACGACAATGCCATTCGCGTAGCCAACGCTCTTCAGGTGTGTATTACATTGCTGCTTGACGGTTGCATACGGAGATGAATGGCATTTTGGGGGGGGGGGAGCAGGGGTCTGTTTTGTTGTTTTTTTGTTGGTTTTTTTTTTCTGTTTTGGTCGTGCTCCTCGACTCACTCTCATTCCACGCTCCACAGACACTTTGCATTGTTGCTCGCGCAGTGTCTACCAAAAAGTTCACTGGTCTGAGCTTTGATCCCATTCAGTTGCTCGTGCCAAGCGAAGATGCATCGGCTATTTTCACCGACTTGTTCGCCAGCATTGCGTCGGTCCTCTCGTCGACACTTTCAACGCAAGTCAAGGCAATGGCTCTCAAGCTTCTGATTGTGTTTGCGACATTTAGCGAGGGCATCAACTCGAACAGCATTCTTGAGCACATCATGCGCAACGATTTATTCGACGCTATTTTGCAGGTACGAGCCTTTGTGCTGATGTGACTTTCTTTTGTTTGAAGAAGAGCGAGCGCGCAAACTCGCCGTAGCTCATCTCCGTCCAACCCCTCAAGGAGGGGACCCAACTCACCTCTGCCATCGACAATGATTGGAAACAGACCTTGGTCGAAACCTCCACACGGGAACTACTTGCCCAAGATTCGCTCACGCTGATTGTGATTTTTGTCAACTACCGAAAATACGAAGTGCCGAATCCGTACGTCAAGCGGCTCTCCGAAGTTCACGACGAGCTGGTTTTGAATGTGAGGTCGCCATGGCTAATCATGCAGCCATATGGATTGCGTCGTTCTCATGCGTTGGTTGAATTCATGTAGGCTCTTGGCTCTGTCATGTCCACCATGTATGCCAGCTATAATCGGTAAGAGCGCGTTGTTCGAGCGAATGAACAATTTCCTCTTCCACAAAACATTGGTGTTTCATGTGTATGTGTGTTTTTGTGTTTGCCTTTGCCAGCTACTTTGATAACACTACAAATCCCGCCAAGTCGTCCAAAGGTGGCTTTCTCTCCTCGATTACAAGCTGGTTTGGAAGCACTACAACCAGTCCCACCACCAAGAGGTAGTGGATGCGGATCCGTGCATGGCTTGACAAGTCTTTTTTCCGACTCACCTGTTTGTTGTCTCGTTTTGTTTTGGCAGTTGGAACCCTGAGACTCCGTGTCCCGTGCTCTTGACGTTGTACGAGGCGATTCATCTCAATCGCAATTTCTTCTCCGTCATGTGCTATCTCGATCCCATGCTGACGACTGATCTCGCCGTCATGATTGCACAAGCCAAGGATGCAAAAGGTTTGCGTGACTCGTTGGCATGATGCCTGTGGCGTCGGAAGACTGCAGTGCTCTGACTTGCGATTATCCACCCTCTCCCTTCGCTTAGCCTCACCAACAGCCAATCCTGCTGCAGCGGCGCCGACTTCCGCTCCTGCTGCAACCACAGCCACTTCCACGGTAGTCCCTTCCAATCTGTTGTCGCGGTTTATGACGTTCTGTTCGTTTGTGTTTCAAGCAATCAAGGACGAGCCGTCCATCGAGAATGCCCGCCTTTGTGTATTAATTCTGCAATGCGTGTCGGAGGATGCCTACTCGAATGCCTTTTTGCATGACCCTAGCACCAACATTCCGGTTTCGCTATATCGTCGGGTACGTTCCAATTGTTATTCGAATTGGCGCTTTTGATGACTGTCACATGTTTTCGCGGAAGTCTCAGTCTCACACCCTTTGTCCCCCCCCCCCGCCTCTTGATTGCTGATGATGCTCCCCGTTTATTGGCAACACCAGCCCACCAGACATAAACGCCCGCTCCCGAATGTTGGAATTAGTGGAACGGGGCGTCCGCTGGTTTGCAGTGTGTTTGATCTCATGATTGAATTCATGGGCGGCAACCTGAAGCGCAACCTGTCCATCGATCTGTATTGCAAATGTGTTGGCATCATTCATCGGCTCCTCTGCTACGAGAAGCGCTCTCGCGTTCGCCTGGCGTACACTTGGAAGGAAACGTGGACCTCGCTTGTGAATGTGTTGCGTTTCGTCCGCTCCAACGAGACCACTCTAATTGACAAGCACAATGTGTTTCTACTATACGATCAGGTGAGAAGGGCAATCTTTGTCAGATTGTGTTTTTCGCTCGCGTGGTTGCCAACTGCTCATCGTTGCTCCTTGGCATGTCTGTTTGGATCAGATTGTGAGTGTCTTTAATCTGTTCATCACGTATGGCGATACCTTCCTGGCAAACCCAACAAACTACGACGAACTTTACTACGAGATTATGCGTGTTCACGAAGTTTTCCACGCCCTGTATGAGGACGGTAAGATTATTCTTGTCGAAAGTACCGATGCTTGCTGTTGCTCAATCAATTTTAACCCTTCCTGTCCCTTCAGCCAAACGTCATTACACGTCTGAAGGCGAGTGGCGCGATACGGCGCGGCGTGTCATGGCAAACATTGTGAACATTCTTTCCATCATCAATCACTTTTCGCCCAAGATTGAAGCCTGGACTGCTGAAAATCAAGTGGCCTCTGTGACCCCCGAGCAGGTACCGAGTTGTTGTTGTTCCTGTTGGTCTGACTGTTGGCACTTACACGCGTGCTGACTTGACTTGATGGGTTTTTTCTTTTGTTTTATTGGTTTATTTTTTGGTTGGTTTTTTTTCTTCTTGGTCGTGTTTAGGTGCTTGCTGTCATCAAAAACAATTACGACACACTGACCTTGAAGCTGCAAGACAACCTGGACCAGTACGACAAGTACGCTGAAAATCCTCGCGAAGTCTCCTTTTTCCGAACAGCCGTGCGTCACTTGGTGGTCGACACTCGACATCACCACGCCACCACTCATTTTGATCCCCAAGAAGCCTCCATTTAATTCCTGCGTCCAGAGTGTTTGCACGCGCATTGTTTGAGCAGGCTGATGAGCTTGCTTTTTGCTTTTTAAGTTTTTGTTTGTTCTGCCACTACTTGTTTCAACATTGTGTTCCGCAGATCAGTGAGGGGCCCTTGAGATTGATGTTTGTTGTGCTATTTGTTGTATTTTTGACTGCTACTATGACAAGACAAGACGAGACGAACTTTTTGGCGACTACCAAAAACTATGAGCATTAAAAAACTAACGATCGAAACTATGGGGTGGTTGGTCTGCGAAGACCGGACTGCGTGGAATCAAATGATAAAAGAGCGAGCGCAAGAGAAAAAAAAAAGGGGGGGGGGTATCAAAAGTGAGAGCGAAGAAGTAGAAACTAACGAAAGAACAGAACTGAGATATTGTCTCAGCAACCGCGACGGTCGCTCGTCGAGATTGAACGACAAGCCAAAGAAGGCGCTTGGCAGGAAACATCTGGCAGACTGTAGAAAGCGAATGTGCTTGCAGCAGAGTCCATTCCTGGATACGGAATCATGCAATGGCTGGACAATGAAGTGGGCCTCGGACAGTCTTGTTCTTGGTGCGACGATGATGATGATGGTGAGATTGGTGATTTTGGGTGATTTTTTGCGTATTTCAGTTCGCGGGCGCGGAAATGGCTGGGTAAAACCGCAGAGGTGGTGGGGTGCCAGCAGCGGTGCAAGCGGGTCAGCGGGGTGTCGCGTCGCTGTCCTCCACCAGGGGCGGGGCCGCGGCGCTACTGCTGCTGCTTGGATTCGCACGAGCGACGTTAGCAGCGTCATGCTGTTGCCCAGCCGCTTGCAGCAATCGCGCTTGGGCTTCGTGCGCAGCGACTGCCTGTGGAGTGGCTGTCTCGCCAAAGAACGCAGGCACCGTCATGGAGGCTGCTGTAGGGTTGAATTGTCAATGGAGAGTGGTTGGTGGTGGTCAGGCGAGTGAGTGCAAACAAAAGCGAAGAAAAAAAAAAGAAATCGTCAAAAAAAAAAAAGAAATCGTCAAAAAAACAAAAACCAAGAATTCGTTGTGTGAAAGGACGTATCTCGCGCGCAAACGCGCAAGTGTTTGCTTTGGCGTTCGTGACTGAGAGCAGGGCTTTGAGAGTATTGGGCGATGAGTTGCTGAAAATCCCGGTTTGGCACCTGTCTGTCATGGCTGTTTGCCTCACTGCGCACAGTACATCACTCTCCCGCCAAACACACACACACACACACACACACACACACACACACACACACACACACACACACACACACACACACACACACACACACACACACACACACACACACACACACACACACACAAACACACAAACCACACACAAAAGAGAATGAACCGTCCCAATCTCACTCGCTGACTACTGTCTGCGGAATGGATTGTAGCCCCAACAACTTTCGCATCCACCCAGTTTTTTTTTTTTTTTTTTGCTCTGTTTTGTTCAAGCATCCTTTGCGTGCGAAATTCAAACACAAAATACTCACTCTGCATCAAAAGCCCTTGCAGATAGCGCATGTCGACGGGAACGTAGTTGAGCATGTTGATGTACTGCTGGTGGTGGACAGGGCCCAGCGGTAGCGCCGCAGCCGGGTTGTAGAGCTGCTGTTGCTGCTGCTGATGCTGCTGTTGGTGTTGGTGTTGGTGTTGGTGTTGCTGCTGCTGCCGTTGTTGTTGTTGCTGCTGAAACAGCAACAGTTGATTCAGCTGCATCTGCCGTTGCTGCTGGGGTGAGAGTGGCTCTGGTTGGGGGTATGGAGTGGGCTGGGTGTAGGGCGCATAAACTGGCGGCATGAGCTGTGGCGTGGCTGACACCGACCGACGCAGGCCTGGCGGTGGCACCTGCTGCAGATGCGGCACGCCCCATGACATCAATGCACGTGTCGAGGCGTGTTGGATCTGCGAGGCTCGGTTGATGAATGCTCGATCGACATCGACTGCCTTGTCGTCCAGTTTGTGAATGGCAATCTTGCTTGCGTCCAGCACTGCTACAACCGAGCTGTCATTCACAAACGTCACAAATCCGAATCGACGCGACAATCCTGATCCGGGCTCGCGCAACACTTCCACAGCATCGATGACCCCAAATTGGGAAAAGTACCTGGGCAATAACAAAAGAAAAAAACCCAAACAAAAAAACAAAAAAGCAAGTGAGAAATGCAAACGGCGGGAAACGACAGCCTCAACACTCTAGCAAAGCAAAACTCACTCGTGCAGTGAACTCTCGTTCGTCTGAGAATCGAGTCCTCCAACGAATATCCGGCATGGTCGGTACGGCTGGCCATGGATGGGACTCGCGGGCTCGGAATGTGATGATCGGGTGCGACCGGTGTGTCGTCCTTGACCTGGTCCAGCAGCTCGATTGTCGGGATAATTGTTGGGAATTTGAGTGCTCTCGGAATGGTCGACTGCGACCGGCAAGCGAGGAAATTGTGGTGCTGATGAGCTCGCTCGCCGCTCGCGAGCTGGCGGGTCTGGGCGATCTCCCCGCTGACTTATAACTGGGGGAACTGCAATCTTAGGGTCAACCTGTCACATCGCGGTAGTGTGAGGAGACAGGTCGTTCGGTGAGGGTATGAGAGACGGCACACAATGCAGTCGGCTTTTGCAGCAAATTACCTGTCGGCCGTCTAGCATGTTTGGGGCGTCTCTCAAAATGATGTCGAGGACATTTTCTTCAGCAAAGCTCACAAAGCCAAAGCCTCTGTGGGTTGGGTGTTGGAAGTGAGCTTGTTTGTGTTTTTACAACAAACAAGGGAGGGGTTTGGTTTTTGTTGTCCTTTTTTTTTTTTCTTTTTTTTTTCTTTTTTTTTTTTTCATTTCATTTGCGTTTTTCCTGTTGGTGGCATGATGCTGATCAAGATTGATATCATAATGCGAAATGGGAGGGAGGTGCATAATGGCCTCCGTTGGTTGTGCCAAATCCATCAAACTGCTTGATCCGCCCGCGTCTTAGCTGCAGATTTGTTTATGTTTTCGAAAAACGGTTTGAGGAAAAAAAAAAAAAAAAAAAAACGAAAGAAAGAAAGCAAACTCATGAAAGAATCCCGTTCCTTCCAACGATTCTTTCACCAGTTCACCTCATTGCACTGGTCCTTTCGTGGTGCACACGAAGCACTATAACTCACTGGACTCCATTGCGAAGGAAGGTGATCAGGACCCAGACGTTACAACACAAACAACCAACCCCAAAAAACACCCGATTTTTTTTTTTTTTTGGTTGTTGATTATTGGATTTTTTTTTTGTGTGTGTTTGCTCTTGTTGTGCTATTTACCTTGGCTGTGCATCCAGCTGACGACGAATGACAGTAGATTCCACGACAGTGCCGAATTGATCAAAGTACCTCCGCATCGTCTCTACAGCACCGGGACAAGAAATGAAAGCAAGCGAGCTGTAAGTCAAGAGTGGGAAAAACGAAAGAAAACAAAAAAAAAAAAAAAAAAAAAAAAAGTCTCGCTCCAAGCCACTGGAACAGAAAGTGCACGCCGTCGCAACTGCAGACCGCGACCTTTTCCGCACGTGCAAGCTTCTCAACAATGAGGGGTTTGTGGTGTGCTGCGTGTCAGCGTTTGCGTGCGAGCGAGAAGCAGCGAAAGAAGGGAGTGGCATGGATTTCTGAGAGGAAGATCTGCACCTCGGCGAGACTCGTGGCTTTCAGCCTATCGCCCGAGGGGTGCTCTATCGAGAGTGTGTAAATGGGCTTGTCATGGTCGTTGGCCGACTTGGCACAACGCGCTCACGTCGACGAGGAGAGAGTTTTTGAAATAACAAAAAAAAAAAAAAAAAAAAGGCCGACTTGTGATCTGAGCCCACCCACCTCTTTCGGCGCCCAGGCTCGAGCTCGGTGTTTGGCCGGCCTCTCCTGTGACATGTCGACTTTTTTGCGCTTTGTTTTTTGTTTTTGTTGTTGTTTTGTTTCTGTTGCAGGGCTTCATTGTGCCATTATCGGCTACTTTCGGAGACGTTTGGCCACAACACGCGCTTTGTTCTTCTTTTTTTTTTTTGGTTTTATTTTTTTTTTTTTTACGTTGTGTTGTTTTGTTGTTGTGTTCCGCCTTCAGCGCTGTCCTCCTATCGCCACGTCCCCGACAGAGAGGGGAAGACCCTGATGGGCCTCTCACCATCGCCATCGCTCGCCTCCGGTGCGGGGCCCAATGCAGTGCGATTTGGTCAAATTCCTTCGTGGATTTCGTTTTTCACAGAACGTGCGTTTTTTTTTTTTTTTTTCGTTTTTTTTTTTTCGTATTTTTTTTGGCGGTTTTTTTTTTTTTTTTTTGTTTTTGCTTTCTTTTCTTTCCCTCGGCTCTCGTCTGGTGTGGAGTCAGAAAAGGCCCGCTCCGATCCCATGGCATGGACCTTGATTCCACTCTTCCACTGGCTTTCTCAGTCATCGAGTCGATTCCACCTGCCGTCCCAGCGGTCTCCAACTGTCGGGTTTACTTCGACGCTTTTCTTTTCTTTTTCTTTTCTTTTCTTTTTCTTTTTTTTTTTTTTTTTTTCTTTTTCTTTTCTTTTTTTTTTTTTTTTTTTTTTTTTTTTACCTTCCGTCGTGCTGTAACTTAGGCCGCCAACAAAGATCCGCCGCGTGGACGGCTCAGCGGCGGCCGGCGCTGTGGTGGAGCTCGCACGATTTGGCGTTGGAGGGTTGCCCCCAGCAGGCAATCGCGGCGGGCTGGAGGCCGTGACTGACTGCTCAGAAGCAGACCGCTGAGCGATGAGCGAGGTCTCAGTTTGCACTTCTTCCGCATGGCTGCTGCTGCTGCTGCTGCTGCTCGCGTCGTGTCTCGCGGATGTGCTTGCTAGTGCAGAGTCTGCCGTGCTGGCGTCGCTCGCTGGGTGCTGGGACGGCTGCTGCACCGCAACCGCAAGATCGTCGGGTTGCGCGGGCTGCGCTGCTGGCAATGTCTCATCGTCTTGTGTCATTGCAGCGGCCACCTGCACTGCTGCTGCTGCGACTACGACCGCTGCCGCTGCCGCTGTGGTTGCTGAGGCTGCGCTTGTTGCCAATGCTGGGGGTGCTGCGACGGTCGCTGCTGTGGCTACTCTGGCGACTGGACGCGCCTGCGCCTCCTGCATGCGTTAGACTGCTCGGCTTCTGTTTTTAGGCGATCGCTCAACAATTCTGTGCTTTCCCATCAAAAGCCCTGCTTCCAGTCTTCCGAGGGGCGGTGTGCTTCGCGATTTTTATCTCCTGGTGGGCGGGCGTGGAGCAATGCGTGGGGTGGGTGTTGGTGGCTGTTTCGTGATGACAAGGATACACATTCCTGTTAATCTGAAACAGCATTCAAAAAAAAATGGCGCATCCTTCATTTTTTTTTTCTTCAATTCTCGTTTCTTGCAAGATGTGCTCACTTTGCTTGTTCGGTTGGTCGGATCTCGGCAGGCGGTCTTTGCAGTTATAGGCCATGTCCACAGTGCTACTTTACACGGTACCGAAGAGCTGGTGCGCGTTTTCTTCTCCGCCAAAAACAAAAGCTCGAAATCGCTGAAATTCAGTGTGAACAACTTGAGATTGGAGGCGTGCCCTGTTGGCTCGTCTCCCCCCCCCCCATCCCCTTATGCTGTTTGCACTGTCCTCATGTCTGCTTTTGGAGTCGGTGCTCTTAGTCTCTCGACAACCGCGAATCTCACTTGAACTGTGCGTCAAATGGCGAAAAAAAAAAGTCGAAATCTGTCTTAAACCTCCGTGGCGGTTCCCATCAGCCTGGCCCCCCTCATGTCACCAGGAAACCAGTGACCACCGGACACAGCATGCTGAGCCAGCCTACTTGCTAAGAGAGAGATTGACGTCAAGCGTACTCTTGTGCTCGGGCTCCAGTCCCTGGAAGGAGCGTTTGTCGCACACGGACGAACGCTACTGAGCCGATTCTTTGCAGCACCGTTCCCAGTGATACTCGTCGAGCACAAGCGGTGGGCTTTGAGGATTCTTACAAGTGCTACTGCCTTCGAGATTGCGAGAGAGTCCATCACGAGGACCGGTAATGTGTTTGTTGGCGTTTTGGTGGGAGGTTTTGGCTGTCTGTCAAAGTCTGCCTCGTATTTCAGTCAATACACAATTTAACTTGCCACTGTTTCTGTTTGCTGCTGCTAGCTGTTGTTGTTGTTGTTGTTGTTGCTGTTGTTGTTGTTGGTGTTGGAGTTGGAGTTGTTGTTTTTCTCAAGCTTCGCAGCGGTCGCAGATGGTCGGCTTTCCCCGTTCTCTTTGTCTCTGAGCCGTCGCGTTCAATCTCTTCTCTTTGATCTCGCTTCAGTAGTCCCTCCCCTTTCATTCCCCTCCTTCATTCCCCTCCTTCATTCCCCGCACTTTAGCGACCAGTGTTTTATTATTTCCAGCAATGGACTCCAATCTCAATCCCCTTTTTTTTTTTTCCTTCTCTTTTTTTTTTTTTTTTTTTTTCTTCGCTAATGCTGGTCGCTGCTTCGGCTGCTTCTGCCTCTGCTTCTGCTGCTGCTGCTGCTGCTGCTGCGACTGCGCGGCTCTCGTCCCCAGCAACAGTGCGCGGCTTCCACTGTGCGGCTGCCATCACGGCGGCCGTCGGGGCACGGGCGATCCGAGCCGGCGGCTCCACCTGGACTGACTGGCAGCATGGCCAGTTCCGCGCCTCTTCGCTCGCAGCCCCTGTGCCGGCACGCGCGTCGTCGGCATCGGCATCGGCATCAACATCGTCACCATCGTCACTGTCAGCATCATCAGCATCATCCGCTGCAAGCAGCAGAGCGACGCTGCTGGTCGAGTCTGCTTGTGGCCGGCTCAATCCATCCGTCTCTTCTTTGGCCTCCACCCTCTGCTTCTCTTCCTCTTCCTTGGCCTTCGCTCCTGCACTTCCGCAATCCCTGCCCTCGGCGGCCTATAGTCACACTGCCACACGCGCGCCGCGTCGATCCATCACGCTGTCTGCGTCGTCCGCTACGCAGGATTCTCCGGCGCCTGCCTCGTCTTCAGCTCCTGCTGCTTCCCCATCCTCTGCCCAATCGTCGTCCGCTGCTTCCGCTACGCGTGTTCCCACTCCAGCTGCGGAGGTCCCGTCGCATGACGCGGCAGAACCCGAGCTGGGCGTCCCCATCGACGATCCGGCGCTGCCAGAAGTGCTCCAGCGCAGCAAAGTCCTGGACAAGCTCGGACGGAACGAGCTCGCACTCACGACAGAAGAGTTTGTGATGAGCGCAGAGTACATGCTCAGCCTGCCCATCCCGTGGTTCAAGCGGGTTGGGCGATTAATCTTCCACGCGTCCGTGAGCTCGCACATCCCGCTCGACATTCGCATCGAGACCACGTCCCGCCTCATGGACACGTTGATTGCCCACAACGGCTTGCATCTGACGGTCGCCAACCACCTTCTCTCACTGCTGAACCTGAAGGACAGCACGCAAGCAGTCGCATCGGCAGAGAAGCTGCTCGAGCAAATGGAGCGCGCGAACGTTAGCCCAGACCAGAGAACGCTGCGCTCCATTGCCCCACTTTTAACCCGAGCGGCGCGCTATGAATGTCTCATTCGGGTAAGTTCCTACTGCTGCTTGTATATGTGAATCAAGAAACTGACGGGGCGGGTGCGGGTGCGGCAACACACGGTTGATTCTGACTTTTTTTTTTGCTTTGCTTTTCTTTCTTTCTTTTTCCCCCCCCCCCGTTTCTTGTTTTCTCCAGGCCTTCCACAACTCACGCTACAGCGGCGCAGACAAGCTCTTCCCCGTCACTGCGCGAGGCATCGCTCAGGCATGCGAAAACCGACACGACTTGCCGACGTTTTTCAAACTCTTGGACTGGCAGGCGATGACCGAAGAGAACGAAGTGCACCCCCAAATCAAGGCCTTGCTTGTGCAAACGTTCCGTGGCCTGAATCACGATGCGCCGCTGCTGGCGGCAGACCAAGAGTTTGCCAAACGCAACTTGACTGTGCAACGAGGCGTCGAAGAGCGCGCAAACAGCGTGACCAACGATATGGCTATGAACTCCATCTTCAACAAGAGCAACCCGCTCATCCGTACAGCACTCACGACGCAGCAACAATTCACGATGAACCATTTGAATCTCGTACGGACCCGGGTTGGACAGTTGCTCGCGACTTGCCACGAGCTGAATACGCGCACGCGTGTTGAAATTACCCCGACCGATCTCAAGGCGCTCGTTGACGCCCTGTACGAGGGGACTGTGCCAATGTACAACACGTCAGTCATCAACGCGGTCATTTCGCTCTTCATCAAGCTCGAGTATCCCTTCGACACCATCCTCCAGCTTGCCCGCAAGCTGCTGGACGACCTGCTCAAGAGCATTGAAACCCAAGGGCTCGACAAGGACCTCGTCTTCCGAACCAACATTTTGGAAATGACTATTCTTCGCGCGCTGGTCATTGCGGACGAGCTTGCTTCCACGTACCAGCTGCTCTTGCACGCTTCAACGACTGTCAACAAAGCTTCGGGACTCGACAGTTTGCAAATCGGACTCAGCCTTCTGATGGAGATGGTGCTGAACGACCCTGACGCCGCTGCGCATCTTAGTGCGACAAACACGAACGTGCCACGACCACCCAAGCTCCTATCTCAAGATATCCGTACCAAGATCAATGCATCCCATCTCTCGGGTCTGCTCGGGTACCGCAGCTTTAGCGCAGCTCAACTGGCGAGCTGCCTTGGCGACCTTTACACGCGCTATTTGTCCCGAGTTCCGACCAACCGTCGCACTTATTCCCCGACTGCCAACAACCAGTTCTCGAGTTTTGAAGTGATGACAGCTGTCATGAACGGCTGCGGCATCCACCCTGACGTCAAATTCTTTATGCTGGCGACAGACTCGGCGGTGGCTCATCAAAACATGCTGCTCGCCAAAGAGCTAGCCTTTGAAGCCGTCAATCGTGTGAACTTTGCCATCGAATTGCAAGAGCGCCAGCGCTTGCAGCAGCAGCAGCAGCAGCAACAAGAACAGGCCCAACCACCCCAACAGCAAGCACACCAACCGTCCGACTCTGTAGCTCCTCCAGAAGCACCAGCATCCGGGACGAGTACCTCGGCTGCAGCAGGTCCAGCAGGTCCAGCAGTCGCGGTCACTACCGACACATCAGCCCCGCCAGCAAGCGCTTCTGCCTCAGACAGCTCTTCATCTCACCACTTGAAATCCACTGCCGAAAACCTAAATGCGGTCGCTGCGGGCGCACCATGGGTGCCGCGCTACATTCCCAGCGCCACTCGCGACCCGGCGCTTAACTTTGCGCCTCCGCTCTCACTTGCCTTTGCGAATACTGTGTTGCAAGGCCTGGCTTCTGGATCAAACACTCAGGCGGCGCTGCAGTGGCTTCATCGGATGCAACAGGGCCAGCTTGGCCAGAACGCGCTGCCTGACATCATCTCGTTTACTCTCGTTAGCAAAGACATGGTTGGCATTGCGCCCTTTCCAAAGGTGTTTGCCGCGATCGAAGCCAGCATTCGGCTTCTCGCCAAGGAGCATCCTGGCTCGGAAGTCAAAGTGGACACAAAGTTCATCGAGGTCACGCTTGACCAGCTGCACAAGCGCGTTGTGGAGCGCGTCGTCGCCTTGTCCGTGCGCGACTTTCTCAATCAATTCCCGGCACTTGTCAAGTTTGCTGAAGCGCACCAAGTCCGTTTGACGTTTGCGGCCGTCTACCGTGCCACGTCTATCGCCACGGACTGCTGGCACAACCGAAATGAATCGCGCGGGGGCATGACTCTTCAAGAAGTCTGCTACGAGATGGCCAGAATGCTGCCCAAGCCCATGCAGGTTGAACACGGCAATGCAATCCTCCAATCCATTGGCAGACTGGTGGGTCCGGACTTCTTCGAGGTGGCTCGAGTGCTGCAAGACAAGTTTGGCCATGTCCCCAATTCCAAGACCATGTGTCTCCTCCTTCGCTCTGGCTTTACCAAACTCGGTGCACCATTCCTTGCTCGTGCGCCCGACGTGATGCAGCAAATGGACAGGCTTGTTTCTCAGGAGCTTGATGCGGTTGTGCGTGCCAACGGGATTGACGCGCTGCCCTATCTGGACGCGCCGTTGCTGGTTCGCGCACGATGGACGCACAGTCTGGGTCGTGTTGCCAACACGGAAATTGCGTCCACGCTTCGTTGGTTTCAAGATGCCATTCAGGGCACTCCGGGCGTCCGTGACACGGCGGAGGCGAAACGTGTTGTCGCTCTGCTCAATGAACATCTCTCGCATGAGCACGAGGGAACGGGCGGTCTACCAACCATCAGCGCCAATCGGTCCCTAACCATGAAGCCATTCGAGGACACTCACCGATCAACCCGCTCCACCTCTCGTGGCAACGCCCAGGGCTCCCATTCACATGTCCACGCGCGCTCTTCCACTCGCACTTGAGCTGCTGGCTAGAGTGCAGGAATTGAACAAATCATACAAGTCGATGTTTCCTCGTTTGCCATCTTCGCGTGGCAGTACGTCTTTTGCCTCTTCTTTTTTTCTTTTTTTCCCCTCCCCTCCTCCCCCAATGGTTTATCATTGTGTCATCGCCCAGCTTTGCCAATCACATACTTTGGTATCCTCTCTTGCTTGTGTGTTTGCATGAATGGATCGAATTGGCACACACACAAAACCTGGGTGCTGTGTGAAGCATTGTGATAGTACTGTACTTTGTGAACAATGAAAAATGTAACAATGCAAACAACGTCTATGAAGCAATAGCTATTTTGAAAAAAAAAAAGACTGGTCAAAGGTTTGAAAGACAGACACTAGACGCCTGACACGGACGAAAGCTCCGATTCGTCAAACGAACTCATGCTCTCGCGGCGCGAGTCGTCATACGAACTGGTGCTCGCACGCCGACCATCTTCGCCAAGAAGCACAGATGCTCTTGGCGAGCTGTTTGTGCTGTTGCTTGAGGCAAATGTGGAGGTCGGAGACTCGGTGCTGCTGTTGGAGCGCGCGACTGGACGACTGCCATTGCTCTTGGCCGCTTGCTTTTTCAGCAGCTTTGCGTGTTTGAGGCCGCAGGCATTGCAAAGCGAAACCGTTCCATCTGGCCCCTTGCGCCACTGTGGCGTTTGAGTTGTGTGACAAACGGAACAAGACATGTTGCGACCGTTGCCTCCAGCCAACGCTCCTCCGAAATCGCCAACTCCTCCTCCTCCAGTCGCGAGAATACCAGGGGGTATGAGCCCTGGTCCACCTGGCCCTGTGTAATAGGAGCCTCCGCGCTGATCTGGTTGGTACGAGTAGCCAGACGGGTCGAACGCAGGCAGCGACGGAGGGAAGCCAAAGTTGACTCCACCTCCTGCTCCCGCGATTGCTCCTCCTCCGGCTCCAGATCCTAGGCCTATTCCCAGGCCTATTCCAGCGCCACCTCCGACTCCACCAGACAATCCCATCAGACCGCCGTTGTTTGACAAGTTGCCAGTGCTGCCGGACAGGTTGGAAAGGTTGCCAGAGCTGCCAGACAAATTGTTGACGCTGCCGCTATTGGACGGCGGCCCGTTCGGTGATAATCCTCCTTGGACGGCTGCGACGACAGCAGCGGCTCGAGAGGTCGTCAGAGTGCCACCCATGCTGTAGGTGCGGGAGAGAGGCGTGGGGCTAGGCGAGCGCGAGCGCGATCGAATGGCGCCAGAGTGCACCGCTGGCACAACATCGCCGTGCAATTCGTTGAGGCTGTTGCTCCTGCGTTTGGAGGCATTGACGTGGTTGGCAGAGAGCAATTGGCCGGGATCGTGCAGGTCTCCAGCATCGAACGATTGGAACGCAGGGTCGTTTAGCAATGACGCAGCATCTACACCCAGACCGAGCAGGTCGACAGGCAGGCCGTTGACATGGGCAGACTCGAGCATGGACGAGAGCGCAAACTGACTTCCAGGGCTGAGCGGGTTGGTGTCGCGACCGAACGGACTCTCCGAGGAGAAAGCGTCATCAAAGGGACTGAAGGTGTCGTGAAAAGAGCCGGGCGATGTGAGGGAAACGTCTGGCGAAATGGCGGTGCGTGGCACCATCAAGCCGGCGGGAAGAAGGTTGAGCAAGAGAGAGTCTTGCTGTTGATGGTTTTCTTGAAGCAACTGGAGCAAATGTTGCTGTTGCTGCTGGTGCGACGCAGCTTGGGCTGGATTGACTCCAAGCAAAGGAGAAAGCAACGAATCCGTGCCAAGCAAATTGGAATCACTCTTCGCACGAGGTTGTCCAGCCAGGGCACCAGGGGGAAGCAGGGACGATGCTGACAATCCAGAGCTGGAGCGTTGAGGGGTGGGGCGTTGGGCGGAAGGGCGGACTGAGCCGGCAGCACTGACCGACCCGGCACCGGGTGAACCACTGCTTGGCGTTGCGCTCGTCACATGGAACGATGCGACACCCGGCTCGCTAAGGTTTGGACTGTTGCTCAGTGAGGTGCCTCGCATGCTCAGATCAAACGCAGCTGCGGCTGTGGTCGTCGTTGTTGCGGAAGAGGTGATGGCGGCGGAGGCTGCCGCTGACGAAGTGGGACTTGTGGGCGAGAAAGCACCAACAGTGAGACCCGCAGGGGAAAAGTCGTCCGGAAACACGTTGCCAGAGCTAAAGCTGCGCTGCTGGAGACTTTGTCGACGAGGACGCGGGACAACCTCAGGCAACAAGTCGCCATTCACGGTCAAGATGGGCGAAGCGGGGCGATTGCCAGCGACACCTTTGCCGTATTGTGGAAGGGCAGTCTGCAAACCACCAAGCGCCGATCGTTCAGATATTGCCTCGAGCTCTGACTCGTCAGTCACGGGCGGTGCTTCTGAAACGAGCAGGGCGGGAGCGATCAGAGTCACAGACGCGGACTGAGAGCGCTCAAGCGCGCGATGTGGAGGGGGGCGAACAAAAGGTGTGCTGACGGGGAGCGATCGTTCCGAGGACGTCTCTGAAGGAAACTGCAACGAAACTTGGAATTTGGGCTGTGGCACGCCAAACGAAGGGAGCTGGTCATGCGAGTCTTGTTGCTGTTGTTGTTGTTGTAGCTGTGGTTGTTGCAGTTGTTGCAGTTGCTGTTGTTGTTGGTGTTGCTGTTGTTGTTGCTGTAGTTGTAGTTGTTGTTGCTGCTGCTGCTGCTGCTGCTGGAGCAGGAGGAGGTCGGGGTCCACTTGCAACTGCGGGGAATAGTGCGTGGAGTGAATGCTGACGACAGAGCCCGCATGCGAGCCGGCGGCAGAGCCTAGATGGACGGATGCAGCAGCGCTGAGCGCAGCGTTGATATCGCTTCCACAGATGGACGACGCAATATTGGTCAACGTGTTGGGATCGACAAACCCAGAAGAATCGAACGAGTCCTGCTGGGCCAAATGCACACCCTGCGACGAGGCAAACCGCTGTTGAAGCAGTGTTTGACTCAACTGCAAGTGTCTGGATTGTTGCGGCTGCAGGGATCCGCCCGGCTGTTGTTGATTCAGGTTTGACAGCTCGACCAGGCTTTGTTGCAAATTGGCCAGATCGTCGCCATCGACGCCAGATTGGTCAAAACTACCACTACGTGAGTGCACACGCGAGGAGCGTTGCGAGCTGTGTGATGACGGCGCGGTCGACACACTGGCGCAGCTGTTTCGGCGGTAGATTGGTGGGAACAGGAACGTGTTGTTGTTGTTGCTGTTGTTGTTGTTACTGGACGAAGTTGGCTGCTTGGTAGGTTGCAAGTAACCTTGGCCTTGCATTTGCGGTTGCTCGGATTGAAGCTCCTGCTGGAGTGGCTGTTGCTGTTGCTGTTGCTGTTGCTGTTGCTGCTGGAGTTGGAGCTGCATCTGCTGTTGCTGCAGCTGTTGCTGAACCTGTTGCAGTTGCAACTGCAGTTGTTGCTGTTGCTGTTGCAGCTGTTGTTGTGGCGTTTGGCGTTGCTGCTGCTGTTGCTGCTGTTGCTGTTGTTGTTGTATGAGCTGCTGGGCCTGGAGTTGCTGAGCCTGGAGTTGCTGGGTCAGGAAGATTTGCTGCTGCATGGCATAGTTTGTCTGCAGATCGCCGCCATTCGCAAGGCTGGTGTAACCCGTCAAATCCTGCGCCATGTTGCTGGGACTGGCACCATTGAGCAGGAGCTGTTGCTGCTGCTGCTGCAAGAGCTGCTGGTACTTTTGAACCTGCTGCTGCTGGTGCTGCTGCTGCTGCTGCTGCTGCTGCTGCTGCTGTTGGAGAACAAACTGCTGCAGCGTCGCGTTGGTCGCCATCAGCCCACTGACGGGGTCGCTTGCCTGGGACTGCTGCATCATGTCACGAACCATCTCGTCCGTCCTTGAGAAAGCGCCTGCGCCTCCAAGTCCAGCAGCAGCGGCAGCGGCGGGGCTGCCCGAGTCCATTGGGATGTCGTCCATCTCCGAGACGCTTGCGGATCTCAATCCCTCGTACAGCATGGACACACTCTGCTGTCTCGGCGGCATCATCTGCAGAGCTGTTGTTGTTGTTGTTGTTGTCATCGTCGTCGCTGAAGGGGACCTGGACGCGCTGCTGTTGCTGCCGCTGCGTTGGCGGACGGGCTGGCTGTTGTGCCGTGCGACCGGCGCGTGCTGCTGCTGCTGCTGCTGGACTTGGAGCTGTTGCTGATTTTGTTGCTGCTGCTGCTGCTGATGGTACTGGACCTGGTGCGGAAGAGGGCTGCTTCCGAGGGACGGGGAGCGAGCGACGGGGCGATGCTGCTGCTGCTGCTGGTGCTGCTGTTGCTGGAGTGGAGCTTGCTGCTGCTGTTGCTGCTGCTGTTGTTGTTGTTGCTGCTGCTGCTGCTGAATGTTGCCCAGGATGGCCTGCTGGGCGGCGGCAAAGCTGTGTGCCAGCGCGTCGTCAATGCTGCTCCTCAACCATTGCTCAACATGCGACTGTGGCGGCGGCAACTGCCCAGCCCGCGGCTGCTGATGCCTGAGCTGCGACTGCGACTGTGCCTGCTGCTGCTGCTGCTGCTGCTGCGACTGCTGCGGCTGACCTTGCCCGGCGGGAGACAGCTGGCGGTAGCTCGGCTCGGCTGAGCTCTGCTGCTGCTGCTGCTGCTGCTGCGATGCCATTTCCCCCCTGGACCAGCACGACGAGGCAGCCGGTGCTCGGAGTATCAACGTGTGAGGGCTGTTCGCTTGTTGTGTGTCCACAGGTTTGGACGCGAGTGGCGGGGGCTGCAACCGGGGCGACGCGCCTGTGCGGGACTTAAGAGAAAAAAAAAAAAAAAAAAAAAAGGCAAAGAATTCAAAAAAAAAAAGTGACTGGAATCAAAAAAAATAATAAAGAAGGCGCACAGTCCCCTTACGAAAGTTCACTGCAGGAAGCAACAAAACAGTAGCTCGCGAACGATGGATGGGTGAATGACAGTTGTTGCTCTCTTCCAATCACCACCACCCGAGTCAGACCAAAGCAATTCAATGGATGTACATTGCCAACTGACGGACGTCCGGATTTTAGTCACTGAGCTCCTTGAGTTGCAACTCATTGAGGCTGGGGGTGGAAGGGTGCATTCTCACTCCCATTGCTCTGCTCAAAACACAACTTCTCCCAAACCCCTTTTCCGCGCGTCAGATCAGAGCAGTGAGCGCTCATCAGCAGCAAGCTGGCAGGGCATTCAGTGTCCATTGCTGAGCACTTCAACTCAAAAACAGATGCTGAGTTCTTGTTACCGAATCGCTGGAATTGGGTGCGAGATTTTTCTTGTTTTGTCGCTTTGTTGTTGTTGTTGTTGGTTTTTGTGTTTGCCATCAGCTATCAGCTGCATTTGGGCTTTATTTTGGTGCAATTTGTTTTTGAAGGGATTTGAAAGGGATTTGAAAGGGATTTGAAAGGGATTTGAAAGGGATTTGAAGGGATTTGTTATTGTTTTGTTTTGTTTTTTGTTTGAAGAAATTCCCGCTGACTCCAAAAAGTCACGAGTCGTTCGCGCGTTTTTTGGTGTTTTGCTAAACTGCAAAAGCAGCCAACCTTCCCTTATCGCCGTGAGCTTTTTTTTTTGGGGGGGGGGGGCGGGGGAATCTCGACAAGGACGTTCGTTCGTTCGTTCGTTCGTTATTTGACCTTTTGTTTGCTATTGTTGTTATTTGGGCTTTAACTTCTCTTTCTCACTTACACAAAAGTACTCATTATCTCTCTCTTTCTGTTGCACGAAAGTAACACAACAAAACTCGCTCTATTGCGCAGCAGCTTTGCTGATAGGATTGCGAGTCATCTCCATCGCCTGGCTCGATTGCTGGGGGCGGTTGGTCTGGCGAGGCGGAGCATTGGCCAGTTGCTCGGGCGCCAACGAGCGCTTGAAACGATCCTTGCGATACCTGCAAAAAAAAAACCAAGACGGCAACGTGAGTGTGCATGCAGAGGACACAAGAACCAATCACCTCAATCCAGCGAAAACGTACAAGAGCCAGGCGGAAATAAAGTACTTCAGGTTGTACAGGAAGAAACTAAACGGACAGAAGGCGAGGAAGGCCCAATCAATGTTTTTAGCAATGTCCCAGGCGTCGGACTCGGTATGGTACTTGGCGATCAGGAAGACAATACAGCTTTCAACAAGGGCAACGACAATGTACCTACATTTCAAAATCCAGAATGACCGACCAATCAGAAATAAGCAAGGCATGCAAATGAGCAACGGTCAAACAAACAAACCAAGAAAAAAAATCCCACCCGAGAAAAAAAAACCCCGCCTCCAACACGCAAACAAAGCTTGGCGTCGCAAAACTTACACGTATGCAATCAAAATGTACCAATCGAGACGAGTGTTGTAGCTGATGCGTGGCAAGGTGGAAGCGAGGACAAAGTTGAAGGCGACAGCGGCAAGGAACAAGGTGACGGCAATGCCGATACGCGCATCGAGCTGGTCGGGATCGAGCACAAAGATACTCCAGTTCATGATCTGGATGAGGAAGACCATGGCATAGACCTTGTACAGGAAGAACTTAAAGTTGCGCTTGACATGGAGGGCAAAGACAATCTGCGAGTAGTTGCGGTCTTCGAACGAGTAGTAGTTGATGCGGTCGTCGAGGGTGATGCCCATCTTGTACCACTCGGGAAGCGTCACAGCCATGCTCATGGTCGGCCACTCCTTGTTCGGGCCAGGGTTGAACTGCACAGCGTGCTTTTCGAGGCGGAACATGAGCATGTCCTCGGCCTTCCAGTGGAAGGACTCGAACACGATCGGGATCTTTTGGGAATCGAAAGGGAAGTGCTGGAGCTCCATGGGTGTCGAAATGGTGCCGATGAAACGCTGGGTGTACGCCAGAATGCCGTGCGCAGGATGCTCGACCCAGAAGGCCTCGTCCTTTTCAATGAGCTTTTCGAGCTCGATCGCATTGCTCACTTCCACGCCTGGTTCCCACCAGCCCTCCTCGAACTTTTGCTCGTCGTCCTGGAAGTCGTCGTCCGACACGCCAATGTACCTGCCAACAGCAAATAGTCCATTTAAATAAAGGGGGGGGAAAGAGGAGGGGGTGAGTCATGTACAAACCTTGCAGCTAGCTCAAAACATCAAAATTGGGCAAAACGTACTTTTCGTCAATCCAATTGACCTGGATCCAGAGATGATGACATTTTTGGGGTTGGATGATTGTTTGGTAACAACAATGTCGAGTGAGTTGAATGAGTGAGTTGAATGAGTGAGTTGAATGAGTGAGTGATGGCAAAAAAAAAAAAAAAAAAAAAAAAAAAAAAGCCAAAACAATACTAAATCAATACTAAATAAAAAAATAAAAAATAAAAAAAAAGGGTGGAGCATCCACAATGGCACAGCGACAGCCACAACGGAGAGGGGGGGGGGGAACCAATTGAATGTGGTCAATGGTTACCTTGAGGTAAAAGTCGAGGTTGACGGAGGCTTCGACGTCGTTGACGGAAAAGATGCGATTGACAAAGACTTGCACTACGACGCGCTTCTGCTGCGGGTTGCCGCCCTCTGGGATGCGGAGGATCTTCATCCTAACCGGGGCACGACCGGGGATTCGGGTCAAAGAAACAAGCATGACAAAATTGCAGACGCACTATGAGTGAATCCGGCCTCAGCACACAGCAGCCACAGCGAGAGGAGGAGGGAGGAGGAGGGGGCAAACTCGAATCATAATAATAAAATAAAATAAAATAGACGTGCAGCATTGTTGCTGTGGAGCAGAGGATGGCAGTGGCAGCAGCAACAGTTGTGCTCACACCTCATGCACATCATCCACCCCTCCCCCCAAATGCAGTGCTGGCAGTGCTGCGAGAAGGGCTCACGACCAAGACGAACAAAACCCTCGCCTATTGTTACGGTTACTGTTACTATTTTTTATTTTATTTTATTTTTATTTTATTTTTTTTCGCATTCTTACGCCAACAACCTCGATTTGTGCTGAACTCGGTGAGTCAGCAGAAGACGACTCGGGGACGGTGTGTGTGTGTGTGTGTGTGTGTGTAAACGGATCCGAACATACAAGGATTCAGCAAGCTCTTCCGACTCGCCGGAGAGGTGAAAGTCACGCAGGCGCTTGTTCTGCGACTCGGACAGCGACAGTGAATCGTCCATTGAAAGGGTGAAAAGGGGAATGAGCTGAACGACTCGTTCAGCAGGAGAGTATCCAAGGAAAGGTGTGTGAATGTGTATGTATGTACAGTATGTGAGAGTGAGAGTGAGTGAGGGGGAGGGGATTGCAAAATCGCTTGAACAACAAAAATCCACATCATACGAGCGGACACTGTGGGTTGGAAACACCCGCGTGCTGAAAAAGGACACGACGAACAAAGGATGCAATGGTGCGCGGACACGTCAGCGAAATCGTGGACTCGCTCCGGTCAAAGTACGCCGTGCAGAGGGGCAGTTGCTGGCGGTGCTGGCTGAGCGCCACAAGACATGCCCAGCAGTATTCGAGTGCTGAGATGCCAAGGGCCTCCGCACGTTGCATGCATGTTGTAGACAAATGTTCTGAGCCTATTCTCCAGCTGGCCCTGGGAGACAGCATCGCCTCGAGCATGGAACTGGATTTGGCTTCTGCATCAGCCGGCCCATCCGACTGACGTGCCGTGCATGTGTCTGCATGTACCTGGGCGGCCTGGCAACAGGCTGCTGCCTGCATGCTTTCAAACGATGGCCAAGCGGCAGAGCTATCAGGACGCGGAAACAGACTTTCTGGCACTTCCGCCAGGCATCTGCGCGCCATCTCGAAATCCAGGTCGAGAACATCCGAAACCGGCGTTTTAGCACTCAAGAACGCTTGCTCAGCGTGGATCACATCTGCGTCGATATCCTCAGTGTTGACCGCATGCACCACGGCAGTTGAACTACCATCCGAACGAGGGCTGGCCACAACAACTTTCAAGAAATTATTGCTGATTCCAGCCTCGCGCTCCAGATTCGAGCTTGGCTGCGAGTTTGGTACTAGAACAGCCTCCAGCGATTCATTTTGTTGGAACTCGCTTGTTACCATAGACCGGTCTGAAAGCCGAGCATTCTCGGACTCGTGAGAGAGCAATGACACTGCCTCTGAACGATGCGACGCCGCCGCTGCCTCGGTCTGGTCGTCATTCATGCAATAGTCCAAGCTGGACAATGAGGGCGGAGGCCAGACGGACTGCTGCGCAGTTTCGCATGCTGCACGAGCGTACGTCTCAAGGGAGGAAACAAAAGCTGGCATCTCTGGTGGCCGCAGCATGCTTTTCTGGACTTGTGCAAAGCTGGGTGGTTTGTGTATTCCTGTCCATACTACAAGCACACAGTGAATGCAGTATGAATGAGTCGTGAAATCTGGTGAGCTGCCATCGAAATCGCTTCTTCATCCCAAACCCCAAATCCCTCGCCCCCTTTCTCCTCCGTACCATGACATTGTGCCACTGCAGTCTGTGAGTGCAAATTTCGCCATTGTTGTGGAGCGACGAGATGACGCGGCAGTGCTTCCGTCCACGCTCTGGCTGCTGCGATGGGAGCTGCTGGTTGTGGCTCAGTCTGGTTGCTCCGACGCGGGCACAAGACGGTCAAGATGGTGGTGGGTGACCCCATCCATGCGCAAACAGGGCAAAAAAAAAAGTGCGCAATGAGACTGAACCTACCAAGTCGGGCTAAAGTTGTATTCAAGTTGAGGGTTCGCGGGGAGGAATGATCGGAGTAGCGGTGTAGATAAATCGAAGAGGGGGTGGTACTGGAACTATCTGCCTGAGCAGAGTATTTGAACTTTCGCTAGCAAATGTTGATCTACTTTGTGAAATTCCATTCTTGTCCCACATCTCAGTCTTCCTCGAAAATCTGAGAGCAAGTCTTTTGTTTCATTTTCAATTTTGTCAGCAAATCGCTGATTCCACGTCACGACACACACACCCGCCATTCGGTCTCTTTTCACTTGCTGAACTGCATCAGTATTCATGGGCAAGAAGCAGCAGCAGCAGCAGCAGACGCACGGTGCCAAGAAGAAAGGCGGTCGCCACGACGCTGCTGCCGCTGCAGAGCCATCAAGCTCAGGCTCAGGCTCCAGCAGCAGCAGCAGCAGCTCCAAGACGCAAGACCGCGCACTGCGCAATCAGCTCAGGAAGGACAGGCCGCCTCAGTAAGCAACCGCACGTTGGGCGCAACAACTCAAGTGCCTTTCGCATCGACGATCGCTTTTGGGCTGTGAGCCGCTTGCGTAATGCTGTTTGCATACAAACTTCACTCACTCTGAATGACGTCAATCCTTCTGCTCTTGTGTGCTCGTTGCTTGGTTGTTGAATGATTTTCGCATTCTACAATTTTGCACCTCGTTATTTGGCTGTCATTCTGGATGTCCGACTTGTGTTTTTCATTGGCACAGCGTTGTGAATGCAGAGTAAGATTGAACTTTTGACAGCTTTTGACAGCTTTTGTTGTTGCTGCTGCTGAGCTTGGATTTGTAGTTGTTTGCACTCATTTTTCGAGCACTTCAATGTGAAACCGAATTGCTGGAAACAGATTCACAGAGCAGTTGAAACTGTTGGGAATGCGGCTCAAGGACGTGCCAGGAGATGGCAACTGTCTTTTCCGATCCTTCGCCGACCAGATGGCTGGCGACGAGAGCCACCATGTCATGATGCGCCAAGAAGTTGTGGCGTACATGAAGGCACATCGAGAGGTAAAGTTTGGCAGCAAAAGCTACTTGTTTTCGAACTCTTGCTTTCGAACATGGAACACTTTCTCACACGAAATTCGCTGCAGGACTTTGAGCCGTTCATGGAAGACGATGTCAAGTTTGATCACTACATTGTAGAGCTCGCCAAACTCGGCACATTCGCCGGCAACGACACGATCGTAGCGTTCGCGCGGCTCAATCGGATCAACATTGCCATCCACCAGCTGAACTCGCCTCGGTTTGAAGTCGTCACCAACGAAGACCCCTCCGCACGTTGGATCAACCTTGCCTATCACAACCACGAGCATTACTCGTCAGTCCGAGGCATCAACGAAACCAACGTCGGGCCCTCCACCGCTGTCGCGATTATCAATTTCCAAGCGGTCCAAACGGCTGAAGCAGCAGCAGAAGCCGCAAGTCAGGCAGCGGCGGCCAAGGACAAGCAACGTGGTGGGCTGGGCATTGTCATGAGCGCGATTGAGCGCGAGATCTACCAGGCCACAGAATGCGATGATGTCGAACTGATTCGCTCGCTGCTCGAGGTCCATCGAAACAACACCAACGTGGTGGTGGATAAAATCTGGGCCATGAAGCATGATCAACAGGAGGAAGAAGATGCCCTCAATGCTGCCCTCGCTGCAAGCAGTATCTCCGAGCCGGCTGGCGCATCCAGTTCGACTTTTCTTCCCAAATCCGAGGTGATTGCGGCAGACAGAGCCAGCCCCGCTGGCCCCATTCCAACTGGCGATTCGGACGCTGATGCCGAGGATGCGGAGAGCGTTGCAAACGCAGTCGCGCTGATTCAGGCATACGAGGAAGAAGCCGAATCGGCACAAGCCTTTGCTTCAGCGACTTCCTCCTCCTCCTCCTCCTCCTCCTCGTCCGCGGCTTCTGCCTCTCCTTCCTCTTCTTCTTCGTCTTCTTCTTCTTCTTCCTCTGCATCGGCTACCGCCGTTGCTTCATCCAGTCATCGAAATTCCAAGCCGAGCGCCAAGCAAAGAAAAGCCGAAGCCAAGCGCGACCGTAAGAAGCGAGGCGAGCTGGAAAAGCAGAAAGAGCACCAAGGCCAGACAGCGACAGCAACCGCCGCTTCGTCTAGCCTACCAGTTGCTCGTGGCCTCACCTCGCTCAAAATATGAAGCAATGTCGATCTGGTTGCAAATAAAATCTATTAACATTGACAGTCGTCACCGGATTGGCGGTAATCTGCAGGTGGTATCGCTTGGTTTAAAGCGGTGGAAGATCTGGAGCACGAGTCGGCTCTTGACTTGCCGAGGCCGGCGTTTCAGCGGCCAAAGGAGTGACCGGAGGGGCTCGGGAAGGCATTGACAACTCGGCGGTGCTTGAAGGATCAGGAAGCGCAGCGGATGCCTCGCCCACTGCGCTTGTCTCGGAAGCCGCCGCCGGTGGCATAGTTGCGCTCCCTACATCGTCGCTCTCAGACGGGCCCGCTTGGACGGGGCTCGTATTCAAGCCGACACGCGCCAGCACCTTGTGCATTTGTTCAGGATACTTTGTGTGGCTCACGATGAGATCGGACAGGTCAACATTCTCGATTCCTTCCACCTCGACCGGCGCAATGCCTGCGATCGACAGCTGGGCGGAAGCTGCTCGATACAAGAACGTGAGCAGCCAGTCCCCTCTGTGAGCAAGGGGCCCATTGCATGTAGAACCACCAATCAACAGGCAACAGTTAGTATCAAGAGAATTTGCAGCAACAAGGTCACCACAACTACAATCACTGACGACACTGCGCCTGCTGACCTGCTGTAGCCGTTGACAAACCTCCCCGCAACAACACTCTTGGCCAACTGCCATTGCAGGGGATCGCCGGGAACGGCGGCTCCAAAGAGGTAGACGTCTTCAATCAAACCGTGAATTGGGACCTTGCGGGAAGCAAGTTCCTCAAGGCACTTCAGAATCGCACGAGCACCCAAACTAAAGCCAATCAACGACACTGGTCGGCAGCCTTGCAGCCGCGCCTGCAGAGCATTGGCAAGAGCAATTCCGCACTCTGGTAGAATCAAGCACTGAAAGTCAGCGCGAACGGCAAGAAAAACAGAAAAAAATCCAATCCGGCCGAACTGCGTGTGATGCGCGTGGACAGTCGACTCACCTTCGGCTCGATTTGTAGCAACAGCCCACGGGTTGTCGATAAGACCGGCAGCAGACACAAGCGCTGCTGGCCAGGCCAACGCAACCAGCATGCCAGCAAGCGCGGTGTGTAGCAGAATTTGTTGTGCAGCGTAGCCCACAACCTGGTCCTTGATCAGATTGGACAGTGCCTTTCCGAGATCAACCAGCTTTTGGTGCTCCCATTCAACCGTGTACTGCTCCCCGACATCGTCCAGGGAAGCCCAGGGCGCTTGGTAGGTGGCTTCCTCTGTCGCCAGCCATCCAGTCACCGTGATGACCACATGCATTCGTCCGCCGGTAGAAATGGGTGCAAATGCAAACTCTTTCAGGCCGCCGATACGCGTTTTCATTTTGAACCCTGTAAGCCTGTTTTGTACATCCCAAATCAAAAAGGCGAAATGACGGGGATGGCTGTCAGCACCCCTTGGGAATTTTCTCAAAGCTCAAAACCAACAGAAGCTTACCCAGCACCGGCAGCACCAAAGAGGGTGCCGACAAGAGCCACGCCGCCTGCAGAAGCCAAGAAGGCAGCGCCACTCGTTCCAACAACGGCACCGGCACCGGCTGCAATCAAAGGGGCAGCTAGCCCAGCAGTCAGCCCGATCAGGACGCCGCCACCAACGGCCGCCAGACCCATGAGAGCCCACTTGCGCATCTTTTGCTTTTTGGCGCGAGCTTCTCGCTCTGCCTCTTCCTCGGGCGTCAAAGTGCGTACGCGCAAGAGATCCGACGCCATCATGTCTTCATACTCTACCATGGAGGGCCACGCCACCGACAAAGCGGCCGCAACCTTTCTGAGCAGTACACGAGCTCGGGAGTCGTACTCGCCGGATTGGATGGAGAATTCAACGAGGTCTTGGCAAACGACCCACGGAATGTGTGGCTACAAAACAAGCAACAGAAACAACGAGATGGAGTATTCAAAAGCAGATTGGAGTGTGTGTGTGCGTAGAGGAGGGGGTGTGAGAGTTGCGGCGCTGATACCACTGGTACGGGGAAAAGAAAACACAAAAGACAGGTTACCAACCTTGTCGGGATGAAGCAGCATTGCTGCGCACAGCTCTGGCGTAAGGGTGCGGTCGCTCAGCACCTGCTGGACACCGGCGTGCGTGCCGCGAGGGAGTTTGAGTCGCTCACAGAGGCCATCGAGGAACCGACGACTAAACTTGTTGTCCGACACGACGGCCAGCGACCGCGCATTGCGGGTAGCGTCGATCAGCGGAACGCCCTTCGGAGTTGAATCTGTCGGATGCACACATCCCAAACGCGATCAGCTATGTAAGTTGACAAGCCTGTCCGACATGATTCGCAGTGACAATGGCTTTGCTGGTACTTACGGGTCAATTCAAGCTTTGCCACGACGTGCTCTTCGTGTGAAGGGGATTGGGACGAGCTCTGTGAAAGTAGCGGATCCGACTCTGCCAACGGCGATGACGACGACGATGACGATGATGCCAACGACGACAACGATGACGATGCTACCAACGTTGATGCTGCACCTCCAGCAGATCCAGCAGTGGGAATCGCGTGAGCGGTGGTGTTGGAGGGCGTACCCGGAATTGGCTGCATGTCAATCATGTCATCAGTCTGGTCGGCGGCGCGCTGGCCTTCTCGCTCACCTCCGTGCGCAATGTCGTGACTGTTGGCCTCGCTTTCGGGTGCTGCCTGGTATGGCAGGAGCACTGCGACCAGACACGCATATGCGTAGCATTGTGCGTCTTCGAGCATGGCGAGCCGCTCCGCGCTCCGTGCCGCCCATGCGGCCTGCTCCTGCTCGGTCGCCGCAGCAGCAGTCTTGTTGTTGGTGTTGTTGTTGTTGTTGTCGGTGCTGATGCTGCTGCTGCTTGTATCTGGCATGAGTGCGTTCTGGGCACTCGACGGCTCGCGCTTTGGCTTCTTGTGCCACGACGGGAGCAGCGAGTGGCTGAGCGATGACGCGCCGAGCTCCTTTGCTGTTGGCACCGCGTTGTAGTGCTGAGCCTTGCCTGTCGCCGTGGCAGTGTTCGCACCGGCATCACTAGCGGACTTGTTTCGCCTTGAAAACCAAGTGCCCGACGGCGCGCCACTGCTTGGAGTCGCCGTCGAAGCATCGCTCGAGACAGCCGCAAGGTCCTTCTTCTCAGAAGCGGAGGCGTTCTGCGTCATTGTGATTTTGAACACCTGTTTGGTGTGTGAAATGTAAAGTGAGCTGCGTTTTCGACACTTAAGTGTACACTTTTAGTTTTGTTTTTGGAAATCTGATTCAAACGTCTGAGTTTTTTTTTGTGTTTCAAAACAAAACTCTGTCAAAATTGGCTCCAATCGGTTCAAATTGCCGTGCTGTCGAATTTGTCGTGCGCATTTGAAGTCCGACTCTCCAATACAAGGATGTGATCGATCGGTTGATGGATGGATGGATTGAAGGATGGATGGTAACAGATCACAAGTGAGGATCAACTCCCATTCACTTTTGCAGTGCAGTACATTCGTCTCACTCAGTCTTTCTGTTTCATTCTTCTTTGTCTACCTTGCGAAGGGGGGTTTTTGTTGTCTGCTTTCCAGAGTTTCCTATTGAATGCAATGTCGGCGCAGCTGTTGTTTGGCGTTCGAACTGCGACACTGAGGCGCTTCACCACGACGACGACGACGACGACGAGGAGTGCCTCAGCAGCGCCCTGCAACAACATCAGTATCCCCACTGCTTCTCATACTGTTGTTGCTTCTACTGCAGCTGATGCTGATGCTGCTGGTGCTGGTGCTGATGCTCCTTCTGCTCGCAGTCGCAGCATTGGCACGGGGATTGTCGGACTCATCCCAGCGACGCCGTCACTGAACGTCCGCGGAGATTGGCGTCAGCAACCCAATCGCGCCTACCACCACCGCGACCACTACCGTCACGATCGCCTCGCCCAACACCACGGACAGCCGCCGTCTGCTGCTCTGAGCTCGAGCTCGGGACGCGGAGTGCTGGCTGGCAGCTCAACAACGGTGCGCGGATTGGCGACAACCAGCACCACCTCCAACCCGACGTCATCACAATCGGCCATCCCGACGCCCGCCGCGGCACTGTACGCGAGAATGGCCGATACACTGGCCAAGGCGCGCCAGTACCAGCCGAGCCTCGCGTCGCGGGCAGGAGCGCTGCTGTCGTGCGGCCACAATCTGACCCTGACGGAGAAGATTCTCCTCGCCCATTTGGTCGATCCCCGCCAAGTTGCTCAGCGCGGAAAGTCGTACCTCCAGCTCCGAGCCGATCGCGTTGCACTGCAGGATGCATCAGCGCAGACTGCACTGCTGCAGTTCATGCTCACCAAGCTCAAGACCTCCGCCGTGCCAACCAGCGTCCACTGTGATCATCTCATTGTCGCCACGGCGCAATCTGGCGCGGCTGGCGATGTCCAGACCGCCCTTCGCTCATCCGGCGAGGTCTTTGATTTCCTTCAAGCATCATCCGCCGCATTCAAGCTGCAGTTCTGGGCACCGGGCTCGGGCATCATTCATCAGATTGTGCTGGAAAACTATGCCACTCCAGGCGGATTGAGTAAGGATGGTTCTGTCTTGTCGTTGTCGTTGAAAGGATGGCTGGGGAAAGAAGGAGAGAGAGAGACGGAGGCGGGGGGAAGCGCGCGCGAGCGAGAGAGACGATCTGATCTGCAGACCGATAAAAGAAACAAGGGTTGCTTGTCGCGTATGGCATGTTGCTCACTCGTCGGCTCGATTCTGGTCCCAAAGTGATTGGATGCGACAGCCACACGCCAAACGCCGGTGGCCTTGGCATGATCGCCGTCGGTGTCGGCGGTGCTGATGCAGTGGACGTCATGTCTGGCATGCCGTGGGAACTCAAAGCGCCGTATGTCCTGGGTGTCAAACTCAAGGGCAAGCTCCAGGGCTGGGCGTCACCCAAGGACGTCATTCTGCACCTGGCTGGAAAGCTCACCGTGAAAGGCGGCACCGGGTTTGTTCTCGAGTACTTTGGCCCTGGCGTAGACACACTGTCGTGCACTGGCATGGCGACCATTTGCAACATGGGCGCGGAAGTCGGCGCGACCACCTCCATCGTCCCTTACACGGCGGCAATGCGTCGATACCTCATTGCCACCAACCGCCAAGCTGAAGCAAACGCGGCCGACAGCGTTGCCGCGGCCATGTTGCAGCCAGACGAGAATTGCCACTACGATCAAGTCATTGAGATTGATTTGAGCAAGCTTGAGCCGCACATCAATGGCCCGTTCACCCCTGGTACAGTCGTCAGGGCACTGTTGTTTGCAGATTACAGTGGGCATGCCCAATAATGACTCATGCTTGGGATTTTGCTTTGTTTTTGTTTTTTTCGGTTTTGGTTTGGTTGCATTATTTGGTTTGTCTGTTCGCTTGGTTGCCCTGTGTGGAGTCAGACCTCTCAACTCCCATCTCTGAGTTCGCCGCCACAGCCAAGGCCAACGGATGGCCGACAGAGCTCAAGGGGGCGTTGATTGGCAGCTGCACCAACTCGTCGTACGAAGACATGACCAAGGTCCGGCAACTCGTGCAACAAGCGACTGATCGCGGCCTGAAGCTCAAGACACCCCTTTACATCACTCCTGGCTCGAGCCAAATCAAAGACACGTGTGATCGTGACGGGGTACTTGACCCTCTGGTACATGCAGGAGGCAAGATTCTTGCAAACGCTTGTGGGCCTTGCATTGGTCAGTGGAAGCGCGAAGATATCAAGGCTGGCGAGAAAAACTCCATCATCACGTCGTTCAATCGCAACTTTGCCGGAAGAAACGATGGCAACACTGCGACGCACACCTTCCTCGCGTCCCCAGAGCTCGTTGCGGCCATGTCGTTTGCCGGCACGCTGAACTTTAATCCCACCGCTGATGCTTTAACGGATGCCAATGGAAGCGAGTTCCGCTTCTCCAGCCCACAAGGTCAGTTGGCTTTTATTTTTTTTTATTTTTTGTTGTTGTTGTTTTGGTGGTTGTTGTTGCTGTGGTTGGTTGGCAATCGGTTGAAAGTGGCATGTCTGACGTTGACAATCACAAAGGCGTCGAACTGCCTGCCTCTGGCTTTTCTGGAGCCAAACCCAGCGACCTGTCCGGCATGAGCATTTCAGGCGATCAGGTACGAGGCCGCTAATGTAGCTCGACTGTGCTGTCAATGTGCTTCTTTACTGACCTACAACCGAACAACCCATCAACGAAAACCCCATCGAGCAGATTGAAATCAACCCGAAGAGCTCCCGACTGCAGCGATTGGCGGCCTTCCCCGCCTGGGATGGCAGATTGATGCATGACTTGGCTGTTTTGATCAAAGGCAAGACAATGTTTCCTTCTTTGCTTTATTTTTTTTGTTGTTGTTGTGGGTGGTGCTGGGTGGACTTGAATGCTCACCTTCCCATGCAGTCAAAGGAAAGTGCACGACAGATCACATTTCAGCTGCAGGACCATGGCTCAAGTACAAGGGCCACCTCGAAAACATTTCCGAGAACACGCTCATTGGCGCGACAAACGCAGAGACTGGCAAGATCAATTGTGTGCGAAACACTCAAACCGGCAAGGACGATACGGTGCCTGCGGTGGCACGCGCCTACAAAGAAGCTGGCGTCGGTTGGGTGGTGATTGGCGACGAGAACTATGGCGAGGGTAGCGCTCGCGAGCATGCCGCCATGCAGCCACGCTTTCTCGGGTGTCGTGCCATCATTTGCCGCTCGTTTGCGCGCATTCACGAGACCAATCTCAAAAAGCAGGGACTCCTTCCACTCACCTTTGTCAACCCGGCGGACTACGACAAGATTGCTGCGGACGATACCGTTTCCATCATTAATGCAGAGCTCGGCCCAGGCAAGCCATTCAGCTTGACTCCGACTGTCAAGCTCGCTGCAGTCATTACGCACAAGGACGAGACGTCCGAGACGATTCCGCTGCGACACACGTTGTCCGAGTCGCAAGTCCAGTGGATCCACGCAGGCAGCGCCCTCAACTTTATTGCAGCCGAGCAAATCAAGCAAAAGGCCGAGGGCAAGTCTGGCGCTGCTGCGTCTCCTTAGCCTGCACAGATTTGAGCTTGTTCTTAGGGCGTGTTTGGATTTCGGTGTTTTTCAATGCTTTTGTTTTTCCAATTTTGTGAAATGTTTTGTGTTGTTCAAGTTCCCACCAACTTGACAAGCCATAAATCTGTAAAGCAATCTTCTGGCAGACGGTCTGGCTTGACAGGAGCGATTCCAAGTTCTGCGTTTGGAAATCGAAACAACAACTTGAGAGAAGAAAAGCAAAAACAATCACGACATCGACGAGATTGAAACAAAAAGAACTCGTCAAGCTCGATAAAGTAATGCACAAGTGACAGAGATCTGTGCCGTGTCAGGATTGCACAATTGTTTGATCAAGTCGCGTTTCGAAACAAGACGCGCTCGCCAAGCCACAAAGGACTCGAAAAATCTGTATTTGTTGACAAAAACGGCGATGACTATGTTTGGTCCGGAAAGGTAAGTTTGCGAGAAGGATCGACAACGTTGTTCAGAGTATCGAGATCCCAAAGCGCCACTTGCATCCGCGGGGGAATATCGATGACCTCGAGCTCCTCCTCATCGACGACCTCCTCCTTCTTCTTCTTCTTGACTTCCTTCTTCTTGACCTCCTTCTTCTTCTTGTTCTTTGCGCCGGACATTGTGACCCGACCTTCGAGCAGCTTGCCATTCATGGAAGGCTTGAGGTAGTTTGGTGGCCTGGACAACACCGAGATGAGAAGTTGGCACGGTCGGAGGTTCTTCTCAAGATGAGCAAAGTGGCGACTCAGACGCTCAATGTCCTCATTCACAATGGTTGGGCCGGTGAACGACATCTTGTTTCGATTGAAAAGCTTGCAGGCAACACCGATCCAGACAGTGTTTTGCACTGTCGGGCTTGCGGCCGTGCAAACAGCAATCATTCCATCAGACGACTGGGACGCTTTGCCAATCCACTCGACAACCGCAATAGGCCCAGTCGGAATTGTCGTCCGGAGTTCCACGAGGCGTGCCACCAACTGATCCGGCAATGCAGCTGCGTCGATGCCATGGCGCTTCGCGCTGGTCGCGTGTGCAACGGAGACGGTGATCGAGCCCGCACGCTTGCTCAGCGTCCGCTCGTCAAAGCCAATGCCTTGATGAGGCGCAGATGTTTGGAGAATATGCTGCACGACATCCGAGTCGAGCACTGCTTGAGGAAGCACGCCCTTCGATTGGGCCAGCAGCCAGCTGCTACTGGGGTCGCCAATTGTGGCTCGGTAAAGTGCAGCAAAGATGGACCACAACGCCAGCCCCTCGAGTGTCTCCGACGTAACGACGGTTCCTGCGAGTTCGATGATCAAGGTCGCGAGAGCCAGTTCCTTCCGAGTGCCAACAATTTGCGGCAGGATGACTTGAACTTGAGGTCCACGAGAGGAATCCACGGGCTGGGTGTAACAGAAGAGTCTGTCCAACAGGAGTAGAACTTGAACTTGAACAGGGTCAGGTTTTCCTGGAACGCGGACTTCGATTGTTGACTTGGGATCGAACACCTCACCCGCGAGCGCCCGACGGACAATGTTGGCGCTCGCCAGATACAGTGGATCATGCGGGCGACTGATCACAGCGGTCATCTCGAGCGAGTTCATGAGGAAGACACTGGCGATGGACGCTTGAGTGGTACCGAGGGCGAAGTACGCCCGGATCTCGTCTGGTGTCATGGCGCCAAAGTCGATGCCGCTGCCCCAGGGCACTTGCAGCGCATACGAAACCAGACGTGGCACACCAGCGGTGAGAGTGTGAACGCATTCGGTGAAGGCAAGGCGTTGAGCATGCTTGTCGCGCAGACCGAGGGTATCAATCAGCTTTGGGGAGCTGACATCAGGGCGGTGTCGGTTCAGAATCTCTTCAATGTGCTCGCCGCCAAGTGGTGGCAGGATGATCGTTTGCAATTCTGACGGCGATGTCATGGCAATGTGAGGGTCAGCGGTGCTCGAATCCACAGGCGCATCGCTTGGAGCTCTGAGAAGCCCGTGCTGGATGAGACTAAATGCGACCGACTTGCCGGAGCACACAATGTACACATTGTCGAGGTTGAGTAGCGGTGTAAGGAAACGCGACCAGAACTGGTGGTGACGACGCAAGGCACCAGTGTTCGGCGCGAACACGCTAGTCGGGTTGGAACAGCGGTACTCAGGACCAGGGAACCACGGATCGAACTTGGCATTCTCGAGGGCGCCCATCTCGTCAAAGTGGAGGAGCAGAGGGACACCGGCATGCTTTTGAAGAGTCTCGATCACTAAGTCAAGAAGGGGTCCTCGCGGCACTGCGAGCGGTGGCAGGCCGAGCGTGGAGCAGGTGTTCAAAAATATCGCTTCCAGAACATCATCAGCCATATCACTCATGGGGTTGAACCGAGTCAGATCGATGAGGATGTAGCGCGCGTTGAGGACGGACTCGTACAGCGGCCTTTTGATTGCCGGGGCCGAATCGAGGATTTCCTTAGCGTGGGGATTGCGCTCATTGCCAATGTGCTCCACAAAGCTTGTCTTGCCCGAGCCGAACATTTGAGGTAGAGTGAACAACATGCCCTTAGGCCGCTTGGATTTGTCGGCCAGATTCTCGACAGCTTCTTTTAAGCTATCGTGCCGGTTGACCAAGGGCAGGTTCAGATCAAACAGACCCCGCCTACCGTTTGGTGCTGGTCAACAAATCAAGTACACACACAAAAGAAGTCGGTGAGAGTGATGGTCGGTCAATGCTGCGTTCTCACACAGCAACGAGAGCAAAGGAAGCTTACCATCCGGACGTTGAACGATCGTCGTCGCAGCCGCCTTGGTCGACAGGCACTTGGCAGTCGGATCAGCAGCACGGAATGCCGCAGCAGCCGGGCTACGCCTCGCAGCACTAAAGAGCGCCGCTTTGATTGGAGCGAGCGGAAGGCGAAAGAATCGCGCGGTTCTCAGCATCGTGTCCAAAGAAGCGAGGACGGACTGAACCTGCCAAACCGATCGAGTGTTTTGGGCATCGTCAACGGCGGGCATCGATGGTGAGTTAGTTTGTTTCTTGTATCAAGCTTCATCACGGCCAGTTGAAGACACCAATGTTGCATTGATGGTGTTGTCGACTTCTTTTTTCTTTTTTTTCTTTTTTTTGTTCGCCGGAGAGCAAAAAAAAAAGTGTGGTTACTCGTTTCATCAACAATCTCTCTCTCTCTCTCTCTCTCTCTCTCTCTCTCTCTCTCTCTCTCTCTCTCTCTCTCTCTCTCTCTCTCTCTCTCTCTCTCTCTCTCTCTCTCTCTCTCTCTCTCTCTCTCTCTCTCTCTCTCTCTCCACCACCACCCCCTTCCCTGGATCGCACCCATCCACACTCGTAGTACACTCACAGCGAGGCAGAGTGGATGGATCTTGTGTGTTGTGACAAAGGAGAGAGCGGCGACGATCGCGACCCACAAGTGCAAACCATTCCCACAACGAAAGGATTCAAATCGCGCACTCCATACATTTGTCTGCTGTCCGGTGGAAACACCGTGACATATGAAAAATTGGAAAAGATACAGAGAAGATTAGCGAAACCCTTGCACAAAGATGGTTTTACCTAACCGTGAAGCTCCAATTCTATTTGAAACCTTCTTTTGGTCCTTTTTGCTGGTGGATGATCGCTTGTTTTTTTTTTGGTTGATTTTTGTGTTTTCCCTTTCAATCTGCTGTACTTTTGTTTTTGATCCATCCCATCTCGATCAAACTACGCCGTTAACATTGCCATCCATTTGGCTGCCTCTTTCTGATGAGCCCAACTTAAACTTGCCTTTGTAGTCTTCTTTCTCGATTGTTGTAGTCGTGGTGGTGAGTTGCGTTGTTTTCGACTTTGAGCGCCGCACCTCTTCTTCTTCTCCCCGCCGCCGTTGCCACCGCTGCTGATTCTCAGCTGTCAATCCCCCCCCCATCGTCACCCTCCCTAACACTCGCACGCTCTGCTCGCTTCCACGCGTTCGTCTCACTGGAACAAGACCGTTTGCCGCGTCGACAACTCCTTCATTTCTTTTTTCTTTTTCTTTCTTTTTGGGTTGAATCTCTCATTGCTTGGCTCGCTTTCCCCCGAGTGCGTTCTGGTCCCGCGGTGTTCATTCAGTCCACTTGCTTGCATTGTCTCTCTCTCTCTCTCTCTCTCTCCATCTCGCTCCATCTCTCAACACAATAACGCACCTTTGGAGTGATTTTTACGTGATCGCTCTTTTTTTTTTTTTTCTTTCTTTCTTTCTTTCTTTTTTGCGATTCATTCTCCCTTCGATGCACGAGTCTGTTCTTGCTGACCCGTTCCTGCTGACTCGCTCGTGTCTGCACCGAGCCCCCATATTGCGATCGCTGTGGTCTCTGAGGTCGTCGAGGGGACGCCAGAGCCGCCCTTCTGCTGATCTGCGCACCCAACTTACTTTTTGTCTCCCCTCTGGTTTGTTGTGCAGGCAAACATGTCGACCGTAACAGATCTGCCGAGCTACACAATCATCAATGCGTCGCTCGATGGCGACGTTCCCACCGAGCAGCAGCTGCGCAAAGACCTGAGTAAGTGGGCGTTTTGTTGTTGAGGCATCGTCTCCATTGTTCGTCTTGTCCACGTCGTTCGTCTTGTGTACACTTTCCACCCTGTTCTCATCCTCCGTCATTTTTTTTCAACCTGCGCAGTGGACCCGAACGCCGACGTCAAGGTGGCTGCTCTCAAACGAGCAATCATTCTGCTGTTGAACGGCGAGAAGCTCCCCTCGCTGCTCATGTCGGTCATCCAGTACGTCATGCCACAGCAGGATCACCGCCTGAAGAAGCTGTTGTTGTTGTACTGGGAGCTTGTTCCAAAGACCTCGCCGGACGGCAAGCTGCTCCGTGAGATGATTCTCGTGTGCGACGCCTACCGCAAGGACTTGCAGCACCCGAACGAATTCATTCGCGGCTCAACGTTGCGCTTTTTGTGCAAGCTAAAAGCGCCAGAGCTGCTCGAGCCCGTGATGCCCGCCATCCGCGCTTGCCTCGAGCATCGTCACATGTATGTGCGCCGCAACGCCGTCCTCGCCATCTTTACAATCTACCGCAGCAGCGACTACCTCATCCCGGACGCTCCCGAGCTCGTCTACAACTTCCTCCAGGCGGAACAGGACATGACGTGCAAGCGCAACGCATTCATGATGCTCGTTCACGTCGACCAAGACCGCGCTGTCGAGTACCTCGTCGCCCACTTGGACCAGCTCCAGTCCTTCGGCGACATTCTGCAGCTCGTCATTGTTGAGCTCATCTACAAGGTCTGCCGTG